CCCTTGGTTGGCTGGTACTTCGCCTCGAGCACTCTCAACTGCACTGGAACGGGGCCGGGCCGGCAACAAGAGCCTGATGAGGGTAGCGAAGAAGGACTTACTGCAAAGATCTCAAACCGAGGTGGAGGGTCTTCTTGAGTTCAAACTGCATCTATATGAACACCAGAGGGGCTAAAGTACAACATAGTGTCAAGGCTAGGTGCGGTGTGGACTTTATTATCCCTGCATAAATCGGCTGCGGAGATGATAATTTCGATTGGAACACTTTGCAAGTTCTCATGAGTGATCATCAGACTCTCGTGGGAGCAAGCCCGAGTTCCTGAGTTCCTTCCTGTCTAGTCCTTTTGGGGTGTTCTTGCCCTTGCACCAAGGCGATCTGAAAACGGTTGGAGGAAGTCGCCAGTTGGTGGTACGGCGCCCCTTGCCGAAAGCAAGCCCCGCTTTCATCTGGCACCGGCCGGCGGCTGCCGGTTGGCTACCCCACCTGAGCGCATGGCCAGCATGGATCAGGGGTCGAGAGCGGGGCTCCTGCCCAAGAAGTTGCATGGTTGAAACGCTCTTTTTCTCCGGCTCCACCATGCGCACCAATTCACGAATCCGAAGACAGAATCCAATAGGGCTTGAAAGCCGACGAAGGAGGCAATCACCAACCATGATGTGAAAGAAGGGAAGGAATGAGGAGAGAGACGATGCATCGCTCTTGCGCAATGCGACGGTACAAAGGGTAACTGTATCCTGTTTCTGTTATTCAAAGGGCACGCGGATTTTTAATTCCTCCAAACACAACCATTTTGGCGTCGCATTTTTCGGTGACCCGTTACTGATCAACAGCTCGAGGGCATAAATTCTATTGCACAAAAGCCGGGACGACAAACTTCACTTGAGGTTGATTACGACGTAAGTCTCTCACGCTGACAGAACCCTTTCTAGTTCGTGGACAATCGAAGTATCCGTGGTATGTGTGTACGCAGTAAGACGTTGTTTGTTGGATGAGCCGAGTTCCGGATAGTTACGGTAGCGATCCCGTCCCCGGCCGTCTCAGCTTTGATCAATGATCCTTCGGGGCTGAAAGGGTTTCCCGCGACCCGATAACCGGTCCTTCTTATTAACCAGCGTCCCAGTCTGGATGGCCACCGCATACACGACATCTTGTCGTGTTGTGTAGTGAATGTATTTACACTACGTGTAAGAAACTTCTCGCCTTGTCTTTGGGACTTCGGCTCTCGATCCGAGAGAGGACCCACCAAAGGTAATCCATCATGTCCCACTGGGGCGGCTCACCGAATCGGGCCCCCGTTACCAAGATACATAGTGGGGAACATTTGTATCTCCGCGTTCAACGGACACGCTGATCACCACCGGCCGGGTGTCTGGCCGGAACAAACGTTCACGGAAGTACATAATATAGTTGGACGTGTAGGGAATAACAAGCTTCACGCCTTCCCATAGTACACACTCCGCCGGCATGAAGACGAGTGTCTTGAACTTATTGACCGCCTGGACGCCGTTTATAGTTTCTTTTCCCGCTCACTTTTTTTTCTCTTGTTTGCTGTACTCCCCGAGAGCAGTCAGGGTCCGCCACAGCGCACCGGGATCGTTTGCTTCATTTTCGGGTTGAGACTTTTTTGCAATTGTTCATTGGGCGGCTGGGTTCCAAGAAGAAACCGCTTGGAACCCGCCCTCGAGACTGCGTTCTCTTTCGCCCTAAAGTGCCGATCCCGTTTCGACACCGCACGACTCTGACGAATCCCATCCAGCAAACCGGGAAGTTCCCGTCAGACACAGCCGGGGGTTGAGCCGTGGGACCGAGCGAGATGGGGCCGAGCCAAGCGAGATGGGACGGGCAGAGAGCAGCGGTGGAGGGTTGAAAAGGAAGTGGCATGAAAAAAGGTTGGGTGAATGTTTTCGGCAGGCAAGTTTCCTGTTGTTTGTTTGGAGAGCATCGTGTTCGTCATTCCTGCTGCAACCCTGAACGGTGCTGCGGGAGACGTGCATGTCGACGAGTATCCGTACCCGCAACAAATCACCGATGTTCAACGGCACCAGCCCTGAAGAAGGTATTTAGGCGATTGAAAATCTCTCGGCGCTGGACCTGCACAAAACGCCGCTTTGCGGAGGCTTGGTCTCGGGGACCAAGAACCCACGGACAACCGCGAGGAAGGCTAGAACCTCTCCGAAGTATTCGTATCAGCTGTCAGTGGTCACTGGTAGGACTGTTTGTATGTCGCGGCCCACCGGGTTTCCCATGTTCACGATGAGGGTTTGAAGCTTGGAAGTCCGCGGCCTCCGCGAAAATCGGGCGGCGATGCAAAAGAGGGTGGTGTCCGGCTGTGGTTGCCGAATCGTCTCTGGGCGCCGGTAGGCCGGGGGGGGTTCCATGGCAGGGCCCAGGCTCCCAGGGTCTTTCGGGACAGTGCTGGAACTCGGAACCCACAAGCCTTCGGCTCAAGAATGCGCCCGGCCCAAAGTGTGAAACGGAAACCGGAAATGCGGCTTTCCCTGTCATTTTAATGAGCGAGCAACAGCATCGCGATGAGGGGCCGCCGCAGTACGAGCCATCCACGGGACGGAATAATCATCGTCGCTGCGCCGTCACCGTACACTACAGAGACTACATAGGTACTTCGTAGTGAGTACTCCACGGACACCTACCAAGTTCGTAATAAACCCGGGACATACTCCGTAATGGGGTTTAGTACCCGCACCATCATCGTCACCATCTTGATCATGATTGTACGGATCCGGAGGTGTCTCTCTTGGGTCACTCAAGCGAGAGACCGTCGACGGGACACATACCTTCTTTGCAGACACTGCAGGCGCCCACCTCGTCGATCCCTGTTGCTGGGCGGTACATGTACACTACTACAATGGAAGTTATTACGCAGTCGACATGGTTACTCTGTACGGTAAGTAAGTTAAGCCGTAACGGTAATTCGACTTGCAACCCCGGCTGTGGGAAGGTGCAGCGGGCATGGATGGTGAGATCAGCGGCAGTACCCTTCCTGTCCCCACCAGTTGAGACGAGCTCGGCCGACCTTCTGTCGCGCGTGGCTGTGGGTTTCTGTTCGTTGCTTCCAAACGACGCTTTTCGATCGCAGGAACGTCGTCTTTTCTTTCTTGTTCATACGTCGATTCACCCAGCGCGCCATTTGTTGTCTCACGCCCCTCCAACTCAGCCCGCCAGTATCCCCTCGACAAGTAAGCGCGCAGCACCTCGGGAGCTCTTGCCGCCAGTGCTGTTTGGCTGTGCTTCATGCTCCTGCTGCGTACTCCGTACTGCTGCTGCTATTCCTGCGACGGTTCCTTCGCCTCTCACACGCAGCAGCACCCCACAACCTTCTGGTCGTCTCTGACTGGAAGCCCGCTGCTGTCGCCGTGTGTGCCGACTGGGCCGTTCTGTCGCTTTCCCGCTCAGTCTTCGAATCCGGCAACCTGAGGGCTATTACGGATTACACTACACAGTCGTCGCGTCCACAGACAGGGCTTTCCGACCACTCACTCCACTCCAATCCACGCAGCCCGTCGCGGCGCAGCGCACTTAGGCTTCCCCGCGCTCGGTTTTGCCGACGCGCAGCACCAGCCAGGCGTTTTCTGCACATCTCGCAGACTGCGTGAGGCTTCGGGGACCCCCTTGTTGTCTTGTCTTCTTGCGGGTGCTACAAAAACGACCGCCCAAGTTTCTTGCACATGGTTGTATTGCGGCTGTCCCGGTACCAAACGGTTCAGCTGCCGACGAAATTACGCAGTACTCCCGTTGCTGGTTCCTAAGACGGCCGGTTAAGGGCCAGTTCCGGCGAGGGCAGAACGGGCCGCGGATCAGAGCGGCATTGGGTTCCACCGCGTCTTCACGCACACACAGAACGGACTCCAGGCGCAACTGCAAAGGGAGGCATGCTCCAAACAAACCTCACCATCATCGGTATCTGAGACAGCGCGCAAGCCGCTGCTGCAGCATCCGGCTCTCTTTTCTCGTTTTATTGCCGCTTCCGCTGCCACTGTCACTACCGTCACCCGGCGCGTCCGCTGCGAATCCGGCCAAAAACACTCACTTGCAGGGCTTTGCGCTGCGGGCAGTGTATCGTCAACAACACAACTCACTACCATCACCCAGAGCCCGGGTCCGAACAAATCGGCGACGAGACACGGAGCGAGCGCCGGCCTTTCAGAGTTTAGGCACTCGGAGTCTTCTTGTGTCGCCCGCTCTTCGTTTCTGGTCCACTGCATCGTGTGGTTGAACGCAAAAGTCTCTGCAACGACGCAGTGCCAGCCGGGTAGCCGAGAAGCAGGCTTCAACAACCAGCACTTTCCCCCCCTTCACTTGGAGGACCCGCCGCCCTGTGCCCTGTGAGCTGAAAGCTCGCTCGTTTTCGGGGGCCGGAGAAGGAAGAGAGCGCTGGGCAGAGTGCAGAGCAAGGCGGGCCCGTCCCACTTTGCCAAAGGCACCCTGGAACTAGGCGACTGGAGCGACTCCCTCCTCCGTTCCTTACTCCCACACCCCCTCCAACAGATCTCCCGTCTGCACGTTGCTTGACCGGCAGCTCACCCGAGCCCACCCCCCATTTTCTCGGAGAAGCTGTGGAGACGATTCCGAATCAGGCTACCGGAAACAAGTCCTTAAAGCAAAGCAAAGCACGGCCAAGCAAAAGCCGGGAACCATGTCGTCCGGGTCGCACAGTCCATATCCTCCTCCTCGATCCCCCAACCCCGGGCCACACCCCAATCCCCAAACACGACAGTTCGGCTCGTCTCTTACCTCGTCGTCCGCCCAGTCCCCTACACCCACTGAACAGTACCAGAACGGCCCGATGCGGCCGAATAATGCGAGCGTCGCGTCTTCCAGCGCGAGATCTAGCCAGGCGCTGCCTCCAGGTCCTCCAGGTCCTCCTGGTCCTTCTCATCCTCACCACATGGGGATTCCGCCATCCCTTCCCCCAGTTCACCAGATGCCGCACAGTTCTTCCTTCCAGGCCTTCACGCCGCTCACCTCCACGTCGTCCGCCATGGATCGGGACTCGATGCCGTCGGGCGAGTCAGTGGCAGGCACGCCCCGGCCATCTCACGCCAACCTGCCGTCCGGCAGCAGCAGTGCCCAAGCACAGAAACGAGCGTACCGACAACGACGAAAGGATCCCAGCTGCGACGCGTGCCGCGAGAGAAAGGTAAAGTGCGACGCCACGGACACAACCAGCTGCTCGGAGTGCTCGAGCCGGGGCAACAAGTGCCAGTTCACCAAGGAGACCAACCGCCGCATGTCATCGATCAAGCAGGTACAGGATCTCGAGAAGCAGATGGAGCGAGTGCGGCGCGAGAACAACAGCCTCCGACGCATGCTGCAAGAGCGTGATGGCCGCCAGTTTGAGATGGACGTGGACGGCGTCGAGCAGCTGCCGCTGCAGCTCCCGGACGTGGGCCAGCAGCCGAAGCGGAAGAAGCGGCCCGCGGCTGTCCACGACCTTGCGCGAGTCCGATCGAATCTGCGGGGCTTCTCGCGGGGCATCTGGAAGCCGCCTGCCCCATATCGACAGTCGGCGGCACCCGATCTCCGAGAGTTCCAGTCGCTGCTACCACCACGAGCCGTCACCGAGGGCCTCTTGCGATCCTACTATTCGTCCATACACTCCATGGCGCCCATCCTGCACTGGAACACGTTCACGCAGACGGTTGACGGCCTTTACCGGGCAGTGAACCCCCTGCGGGTCTCCCCAGCGTTCATGTCCGTCCTGTTTGCCGTGCTGGCTGTGGGGAGGCTGTTCACGCCCGAAACGGACCAGAACCGGACGTACTCGGCCACCCAGCTGCTCGAGACGACGCAGACGCTGCTGGACCCTTGGAGCAACGAATTTGAGCTGGACAACGCGCGTGCGCTCCTGCTCATCGCTACGGCCTTGAACGAGCTGAACCTCAAGTCGGCTGCGTGGAGCTGGCTGGGTCGAGCGGTCAAGGTAGCGCAGGACCTGGGGCTCTACACTGAACCTACCCTTTCGTCCTTTGTCGAGGCGGAGATGCGGAGGCGGACGTGGTGGGTTATCTACATTCTCGACCGGACGCTGTCCCTCGAGCTCGGCAAGCCCATGCTCATCGACGATTCCGACTGTGACGTCGCGTTGCCCGCGGCCTTGGACGACCACCACCTGACCGACCGCGGCCAGCGGTTTCCTGACGGTGCCGAAGGGCATACGCACTCCCTGCTTGCTGTTGTAAACGTGGCCCGCTCGTACACCGCACTGAGCCGCGCCCTGTCCTCCCCCGTCATCGCCCCGACCCGTCTCGCCACGTTCGACCAGCATTTCGCGTCGTGCCGGCGAGCCTTCCCGGCGGCATGCAACCCCACGAGCACTGGGATTCTTATGCCCGGCGTGCTCAACCCCGTGATCTACCTCCTCCACGCTCGCCTGCTCCTGCACCGGCACAACCTTCTCCCCTCGTGCCCGCCCGATGTCCGTCTGATCGCCATCGAACAGTGCATGCACACGGCCGTCGAAACCGCCTCCCTGCTCGCCCGGACACAGGCCGCTTCCGTCGCCGAGACCGCCACGGCCCTGTTTGCGACCCACGTTTTCCGTTGCACCCTCTTCCTGCTCCTGACGGGGTACTTCGATCAGGCCTCCGAGTGCATTCGCGCCTTGGCTGCCATCAACGACTACCGCGATGTTGCCGTCCCCTGCGGCCGCTACCTAACCTTCTTCGTGTCCGCCCTCGCGTCTCGCCGCGAAGAGATCGTGACCTACCTCTCGCAGGCCCCAGCACCGTCCCCGAGCCACCACCCATCCTCGCCTTACGGACCGCCGCCACCACCACCAGTCGCTCAACGGCCTTCACCCGCTGCCGTGCACGACGCCCTGCTCCGCGACGAGGAGCTCATCGCCTACGTCAGCGCTGACCTGCAAGCCGGCATGGAAACGGCCTGGGTCTGGGCCGGGAGCAGCGAGCGCGAGGGCTCAGCGCCCTTGCCTGCTGTGGGGAAACACAGCTTGTTCAGTGCTGAGGCGAGATCGGGGTTGACGAATGAGGAGAGGTGGGATTGGGGGCCCGGCGTGGCTGGTTGGGAGAGGCTGGAGAATTCGATGAGGAGGTTGGCTAGTGGGGAGATGGGATCGACATCTGGGCCTGCGCCGACGTCAGCACCGAAACAGCATCAACCACAACATCAAGGGTGGACGCCTGTCGCCGCTGCACCGCCGCCACAGCAACAGCAGCAGCAGCAGCAGCAGCAGCAGCCACTACCGTCTTTGGCACCCCTTCACCACCAACAACAACACCCACCACAACAACATAACCACCACCACTCACCACACGACAGAGGGCGAGAAGGAGGAGGGGTAGTCAAAATGGAAATCAACGGCAACAACAACGGGCAAGACGGGAGAATCGTCGAAATGGCACCGGCCCTGCCGCCCATTGTACCCGGGGCTGGGGCAATTAGGCCCGGGTTGCCGGGGTTGGTGGGGGTTGGGCCAGGCGGGAAGAGTAAAAGTCAGGAGCGGATTAGTATCGCGAATATTATGTGATTTTGGGGTGTGTGTGGTGGGGGTTAATCCAGGGGTGAGATGCGATGGACTGGGGGATGGGAGGATTGGGAATGGGGTTGATGTGTGAGAACTGGGGGTATATGCGGTGTATAATGGAATGGAAACGGCCGTGTAATGAAATGAATCGGTGTTTGTATTTTCAGATTTTGGGTCTGGATTTGAGGCGAGGCAAGCTAGGCTGGTAACGATGTGGCTGGCGTGTTTGGAGTTTTTTTCCTTTCTTCTTATTGGTTTGGCAGGCGGGCGGGCGAATGATGATTAGCGAAAAGTAAAACGGGGAGAGGGGGATGATTGTACGGGGAACGAGGGAACGGCATGGCGCATGTGTCTGTGGGCGTGTCATTTACCGGTAGAGTGACGGAGGAGAACCTTGGGATGAGATGAGGGATCAGGAAGAGGGGAAGACAATAAGGTTAAGGAAGAAGGAAAGAGGGGGGAAAGGAACAAAAAAAAAAGGGGTGGGACGGGATGGCTGGCGTGGCTATTTGTTTGTTGCTGGTTTTGTTGATTCTACAGTTTGCATCTTTTTTCCTTGGGTTTTTTGATACCATATCGTACAGTACCCATAACCTGGGCAGGTACACATACCACGCACGCATGCTGTGTGTGGTGGAGGGGAAGAAGGGGGATGTCTGGAATTTTAATGGCACATTTTTTGGCATTTACATGTTCGATTATGGCTGTGTTTACCTCCAGTGTGACTTCTTCCAGGTGTCTTCTCACGTTTTATTCAGCTAGGCTATACAGTGATGGTGATGGTGATGGTGGCTTGTTAACCCACACCAATCTGCTGTCCCGACCACCTAGGTTTGGTGTAACATAAAGGTATGTACACTACTAGCCGCTCCGTAGTAACTATGTATAACCCGAAATCTTGCGGCGTACTGCACCTACCGAGTTGTAGTCGGCGACATGTCTTGGATCTATGGAGTGTGTGTGTCTTGTGACATTGGGTTGTATTCGGCGTTGTGTGACCTGTCTTACTTATTTAGCTGGGGTTGCCTGGTTAATATCTTGCTTGGGCGGCTTGGGTGGGATGAGGGGCAAAGGGAAAGGAGGGAGAGGGGGTTGTGTGACGGTGATCGGTTTTTTTCCCACGGCAGATTAGCTAGGCGGCTTTTGGTTTTGGCTTTGTGGGGTGTTGAACTACTGGGCTGGGCTGGACAGATGGCGATGGTAACTTTACGGTTGTGGTTATTTCCGTGAGAGGTTGGTTTGAGGTTCGCTGGTGGTCCTCATACGTACATAGTATAGGCTGGTGAAGGTGAATTGTTTTGCAGTGATATGCAAGATTTAAATGCTAAAAATACACCAGACGGCAATTTCCAGTGTCATGGGTCCTCACAAAAAGACACAGAATAACTTATAGGACATAACGTGGGTGCGTGTAAGTGCCAAATTCGGAACCTGGGCAGGTCTCGGCAGAGGTCATACATATGTGGGTCCTCGACGATTTGCTTGCAAGGATCGCCGTTTCCCCATCTGTCCCGACATGACAACACCAAAAAGAAAAAAAAAGAAAAAAAAGGATCGGGCCAATGTCGACTTCACCGTCAAACCTGGATCCCCGGCCCTGACGGTGAAGCCGTGGGCTGCGAAGTAAAGAAGGATTTGCTGCGGGTGGGTGGTTTTATCGTCACGATATAAGGCACATGCCTCGTTTGCTTGTCGAGTCTTTTAGGTGGCGACTGGAAGTGGGTTTCCGTCGAGACAACAAGCCGAACATGAACCGCATGGTTGGTCCGCCGCCGTTTACACCCGAGTTGTGTCATTCCTGGGCCGCTAGGGTACCGTCACTAGTGGAGAAGTTGCTTATGCACCTTGAGGAGGATGGGTATATCCAGCCCGCTACACCGGCGCAACATATAGACAGAAATGCCCAACCCCTTACGAGTTGGCCAACCAACAACGCCTCGTTGTGGTGTTGTTAAGTTGGGTTGTCTTGAAAACCGACCCCGCCCTGGCTTGCCTGGAGAGCTTCAGGTGCGTTTTACTTTATCTGTGCATTAGATGGACTTCGTTTATACATGTATGTCGTAACCGGCAATCCTCGCATGTCTGTGCCCATGCCATGATGGAAAGATCTTTCTCTCTTCGGTTGTCTACTGAAAGCCAAAGGCGGCAGGGCAGGTAAGCGAATCGCGGGTCACTTATCTCTCTGTCTCTTGGCACAACTGATACATATAGATCCTCGCATGTTCCATCCAACCAATGTATTCGTGTTGCTCATTAAATCATCAGAGCTATGGCGGGTCCGGCGTAGAAATAGATTCCCTTTCACACCCAAGATGATCCCTGCTTGTGGAAACACCTCTTAGCAGATAGCGTGGGTCTTGCCAGTCTTGCCCTGGATAGAATGCTTCTCCTTCTGTATTCGGGGCAAACCCACAGTTAGCATGTGACATCACTCAGACACAAAAGTTTGGCGGTACTGACCTTGTACTTGGGGTGATTGTGTGTCGCCTTGCCGCTAGCCGTGTGGTGCTTATGGATAAATTCGTTCTGCTTCTTAATGCTCTCCCGGTCCATCTCCTCCAGCAGGTTCTGGCACAGCTTGATATCCGTGATCAGCCCGTCGCAGCGGTTCTTGCTAAAGTCCTCACGCACCACCACGCGCAGCATCTTGAGGTTCTCGGTATGTGGCGCCATGGTATACGCGGGCACGACCCAGCTGCGGGAGCGCAGGGCGTGGGCCAGCGCGAACTCGTCGTACTGGCGGTCCTCGGAGGGCGGCAGGCGGAAGGCGACGAGCGGGAGGCCCTCGCCGGATTTCTTGGACATGATGATGAAGCCGAGCGCCTCGAGCGAGTCGGAGAGGTAGTCAGCTGTGCGGGTGAGGTTGCTCATGATGGCACGGTATCCGTGCTTGCCGAGGCGGATGAGCTGGTAGTATTGGCCAATTACTTGGCTGGCGCCCTTGCTGAAGTTGAGCGTGAATGAGGCTTGGTCGGCGCCGAGGTAGTTGATGTTGAAGACGAGCTCTTGCGGGAGGTACTCGGCGCTGCGCCAGACTACCCAGCCGACGCCGGGGTAGACCAGGCCGTACTGGAAAAGAGAGTTAGCCGAAACCGGTGTTTTGGGGGATTGAGCCTGGGGGTTAACTCTGGGGGCTGGGTTGCAAAGGGCTTACCTTGTGCCCAGAAACATTGATCGAGACGACGTGATCTAGCCTGAAATCCCATTCAAGATCCGGGACAACAAACGGCGCAACAAACCCACCACTAGCCGCATCCACATGGATCGGCGTATCAAGCCCCTTCTCCTTCAGCAGGTCATTGACCGCCTTAACATCCTCGTACTCACCCGTGTACGTCGTCCCAAGGATGACACAAATACCAATTGTGTTCTCATCCACCAAGTTGACCGTCTCCTCCGGGTCAATCACATAGCGCTCTTCCGTGCAGTACACCAGCTTCTCGTCAATCTCAAAGTACCGCGTCGCCTTCTCCCAGCAGACCTGCACAGCAGACGACATGACAATGTTCGGCGAGTCGGTGGGCTTGCCCTCGGCCTTGCGCTTGTTCTTCCAGCGTTTCTTCATGGCTAGCACGGCCAGCATGATGGCCTCGGAGCTGCCCACACAGGAGGTGCCGACCGCGCCGACGCCGTCTGCGGCCCCGACGGGGGCGTTGAAGAGGCGGCCGATCATGGACACGCAGCGGTTTTGGATGTCGGCTGACTGCGGGTACTCTTCGTAGTCGATGAAGTTCTTGGAGAAGGACTCGGTCATGAGCTTCTCGGCCTCTTCTTCCATGTACGTCGTCACGAACGAAGCGAGGCTTTGTCGGTTAGCATCCTGAAGTCAGGTATAACGTGGGAAGAGAATTATTTACTTGAGCATAGGGTTGCCGTCTAAGCTGAGCTCGTCCTTGATCATGCGATAAGCCACATCCTTGGGCATCTCGCCCTCGGGAATCTCATGGCGTGGCAGCTCCTGGGCAGCGAAACGCGAGCCATAGACGCTGGTGGTGAAGCAGTCGTCATCGTTGGCCAGCTGAAGCTTGACCTTCTTTAGGACCTCGGTCACCTTGTTCACCTCATCCTTGGCGGGGATCGTTTGAAGATGCACCATTTTGGTGACTATCGGGAGGTGACAAACGGGTTAGGACGGCAATCTCAAAAGAAAAGGGTCTCGGTGTCATACAGTCGTCTTGTGAAGTGTGGAAGTTCTAGTGTTGTGGAAAGAAAATCACTAACAATTGCCTCCTGTTAGTTACAACCCCCAAGGTCTGATGTCATAGCCAAAAGTGTTACAATAAGAGCATTGGCAAGCAAAGTACACTTACCGTCTAGTAAAGATCTAGCAACGGTCTAAGAACCGATACCGCTTGAATCAACAAAGCACGAAACTCGGAAACCGTGATCTGAAAAGAAGAAGAAGGGGGGAGCTGTAGGATCGAGCAGCTGGCGCCCGCATCTCATTATCTAACATGGAGGGACGGAAAAGAGGGGTCAAAGTTCCATGTTCCATGCTAACCAACACAAACCAGGGCCGCACCAGAGGGGTTGAGGGGTCAGTAAGTCCAGTCCCTGTCTGTTTCCGTTAAACCAGGCTCCCCATCCCATCACCGTTCCCACAACGGGTCGTTTTATTGGGTGAACCGGCGAATGCATTTGCAACATTTTACTACCTCAAGTCTGCAGGTTATTCCCTTCTTGGCGATATAACTCGGGAGGGAACCCTGGTGGCGCTCTTCAGACCCGGAAAAGCTTGTCTTCAGCGGCCGCTGCCGATCGCATCTTGGCGAATTAGATCTCGAACGATCGAACGCGTGCAGCTCCGCGACGAGGGGAGGCAATCCTGGCTCAGCGAGCCTACGCGTAGTAATATATCACTTATCTCGTATTCTCAGTCGGGCTCTTTTACTTCCTCCCCTAGACGCGTTCCACGTTTTATTGCCGGGCTTTCCGTTCAAATGCTGTTGGCGTTCGAGAGGCCAGTCAGCCCCTCCCGTTTTCAGCCAAAAGGACGAATACAGTGACATCATAGCGGGGAGGGGTGTTGGAAATTGCGAGTTGAACACTTCCCGAGACAAAAGTAGGTGGGGTCCTTGGGTTGCGGGGCTTCTCCGTCGTACCTGACAGTTTCCCTGGCGGGTAAGCATGGGCGCATTTGTGGCATAATTGATCGCTCACTTGTCTCCAAAGCGTTTAATTGTACCCGATGCTTGATGAGCGACTGAACTAGGAGCTAACAAGAGGTGACGTAGAGCTCAAATGAGCAGAAATACATTTCCAATAAGAGTGTGTTGAGACCCATACAGTTAAATGGATCTGTTAGCTCCGGCCTGCTTTTCTTGATGGATATTCGGGTGGATAAGGGAGACCATCAATGGGTTCCCACTGTGATTATCTTGCCCAGCGTTCGTAAACCCACATAGGTTAAGTTGCTTTAGAATTCCTATGTAATCGACGAAGCTGCGGTTTGTTGTTGTTGTTCGCTAAGTGTGGAGAACTTGTTACTCATCCAGGAGAACAGCAAAACCGCTCTCGAACCAATTGTCTCGCGGCCCTGATTGATTCTCTTGTTGCCAAGTCAAAGGGATAAGTCAGCGTGCAACGTAAGAGATACAACACCATCCACCGTTCAATCAATCGTGACTTTTATCCATATATGGGAACATTGAACTGGACTTGTTCAATGTTGAGAATCCTGCCCGCTTGAAGGTCTTGGCAACCCGGAATAGGCAAGCCACCCACGCAACCTTTTGCTCCCAATTTATTCAGTCGAATTCTTTATCCCTTGCCTTCAAGATATCAGGGTTTACGGAGCATTATCAGATGAATAACTTCCATGCCTCGTCAATGTTCTTTGCGCCTTTGTTCCCTTGTTATTGTTCCTGGCGTTCCTCTGACCCGAGAACCTTGATGGGCTGGGGAAATGCCAAGAGGCCTTATCGATACGATGGCGGGTCAAAATTCTGGGCCCGACATCGCTCTGGTGAGGGTTTTGGGAATCGACCGTGACTCCTCTCGCCAATGTTGAATGACCAACATCGAGATCCAGTCATAATTGAAACGGGATTATAAGTTGTTATAAACCTAGGGCAACTTTACAACTCAATTGATCCCAATTGTTTTCAATTCGAGCTCACACCGTCCCTCAACCTCCTCAAAATCTCGCAAGTCGAGGACACTTTCCCCTTGCATCTAATTCCCATCTTTCTTTTCCCTCGAGATACCCCCTCCTTGAAATGGCCTTCCGCGCATCCCTCCGGCTAGCCACCACCGCCCGGCCAGCTGCCGCCCGATTATTCTCTCAGGCCACCTCGGTGCCGACATCGAGTGCCTCGTCCGTCACAGCAGCTCAGATCCGCCGCGATGCTGCGCTCCCCAACCCTGATCCCGCAGAGGACTCGGCCAGCGCCGCTCTTGTCCGCGAGCATGCCCCCTTCATGGTCGCCACGTATGCTCGCCCGCCGCCTGTGTTTGTCAAGGGCCAGGGCTCGTACCTGTACGATATCGAGAACCGCAAGTACCTCGACTTCACTGCGGGTATTGCCGTCAACTCGCTCGGGCACTGCGACCCTGAGATCTCGGACTTGATCGCGCAGCAGGTACATCCTGCCTCTTCCACTGTGACTGGAAAGAACAATATTAGCTAACGCACATCACAGTCCAAAACCCTCATGCACGCCTCCAACCTATACTACAACCCCTGGACCGGCGCGCTCTCCAAGCTACTAATCGAACAAACCATCGCCTCAGGCGGCATGCACGACACCGCCGCAGTCTTCATCTGCAACTCCGGCAGCGAAGCCAACGAAGCAGGCATCAAATTCGCCCGCAAAGCCGCCAAAGTCCTCGACCCCTCCGGCAGCAAAACCGAAATCGTCTCCTTCCGCAACGCCTTCCACGGCCGCACCATGGGCGCCCTCTCGGCCACCCCCAACCCCAAATACCAAGCCCCCTTCGCCCCCATGGTCCCCGGCTGCCGCGTCGGCGACCTCAACGACATCGCCGCCCTCCCTGCGCTCGTCACCGAATCCACCTGTTCCGTCATCGTTGAGCCCATCCAGGGAGAGGGCGGCGTGCAGGTCGCATCGGATGAGTTTCTGCTAGCTCTCGCCGCCCGCTGCCGCGAGGTCGGCGCTGTTTTGCATTATGATGAGATCCAGTGTGGTTTGTCGCGCACGGGCCAGCTCTGGGCTCACTCCCATTTACCCCCCGATGCCCACCCGGATATCCTCACCACGGCCAAGGCCCTCGGTAATGGTTTCCCCATCGGCGCGACGCTGGTCAACGGCCGCGTGGCGGAGAAGATCAAAGTTGGCGACCACGGGACGACCTTTGGCGGGAACCCGCTTGCTTGCCGGTTGGCGGTGCGGATCGTCGAGCGGCTGGCTGATCCGGCCCTGCAGCGCGGGGTGGCGGAGAAGAGCCAGGTATTTCGCGATGGGTTTGAGAAGCTGGCTGGCCGGTTCCAGGGGTTGGTGCAGGAGGTTCGGGGGAAGGGGTTGATTCTGGGTTTGCAGTTGAGTGAAGACCCGGCGCCGATTGTGAAGGCGGCGCGGGAGAGGGGGTTGTTGGTTATTACGGCGGGGACGAATACGTTGCGGTTTGTGCCGAGTTTGGTGATGAGTGAGGAGGAGATAAAGGAGGGGTTGGGGGTGTTGGAGGAGGCTATTCTGGCTACGAGGGCGTAGGGTGACTTGATGTGGTGTTGGCAACTAGCATAGGCAGCTATGCGGCCTTTGTCCTCGTTGTCGGTGTTTTGTTTCACTTCTGATTTAGCGCGTAGATCTTGATGATTGTTTCGATCTTTTTATGGAGTTGGTGGTACAAAAAAGAACTGTTTCTCTGTTCCCGACCACAGCAGACACGTATCCGAAGGACAATTTCCCCAGATTTAACTGGTGCTACACATGATGTAATACATCCACCGTACACAAATCCCATTGTGTGATTACTTTGTGTCTTTCTATCTCTGACGGTGCGGAACTGTGTCCCTGTGACTCGAACACAACGACCCATCGGGTCGACGGAATACAAAGGCATTTCGAGGGACAATGGTTTTGTGTCAAACAAGGAGGGACGGGCAGTACGGTAGAACGAGTCAACCGTGTAACGAGGAGTCATATTAGAATCGATGACTTCGGTCAGCCTTTGTTCGGGGTCGAGAGCTTCAAATGACCATAATGAAGTAGACAAAGTCATCCCTGTTCGGTTCACGGTGCTGAATATCTTCGGCTTCGTCTTTCGATTCAGAAAGAAAAGCCCAGGTTTTACTCGGCGGATCCTGCTCAACGGCAACATAATCACCGTTGAATAGATGGAACTGGAAACATGCTCGACTCCTCCACAGTCACACTCATCACCTGCCGTATTGCCACTTCAACATTGCTGTACTACGTGTTGATATCTATACGTTCGAGTACTAGTGAGCTGTATGTTACCTTTGTCAACCCTCAAGTGACTCGGAATACGGGGGAGACGGGTGTTACGTGGCTTACAGCGAGGGTGTATCCTACACACAACGCTCGGAACAAGAGTTATGTCATAGACAGCAGCCAAAACTACTTAGGCAGAGGAGCTAGGATAGTTGCTGTGCAACACGATGTCTTGCTGTAGATTGCGTTTTAGATCCTACCGAGCTCTGAGAGGCCGCCTGCCAACGCACGTTCGATTTCCCTGCTCATCCTCCAACCAAAGCCACCACTCGAAATGCCCATGAAACGAAACATGGGTTGGACGCTTGTCGTCGCATCGTCATCTGCCACTCGAGAAGAAGGGATGTTCACTCTCAGAAACATATGCAAGTGATTGGTAGACAATTCGTGGTTAACCTACTCTACTCTGAGGGCAAGTTTGATGCTCCCACACCCGTCCCCCAATTCCGAGCCCTCAACTCGACGATGTCGAGTCATTTCCCCTGAAACAAAGCCCATTAATACAAGTACCTCCGGGCCGACCAATGCATGGCGAAAGAATCTCCCAAAATAACTGAAATGATTTGATCGACCGGGTAGTTATACAACGTAACGTTAGTTCAACAGTCAAGCACGCGACCTCGAAGCGAGGCGAGCAAGGAGAGAGGAGAGGAGGCAGTGCAAAACACGAAACATCCAAGCGAGCATAACCCGATCTCCCTTGTAATTCAAGACCCTGGTGTTGATCATCGACCTCACACGAAGCAGCACAGCACCAAGGAATCTAACGATCTTGGGGGGGGAAAACCAACCATTCACTACACTACAATGTGTGCACATCTCAAGGTCATCAAGTGTCATCATGGAAATCATGTCATGTCATTTGGTGTGTGTATCTTCCAGACCACCAACCATCATTTTTCTCTAGCGAGTGCCCCTCCTCCATAGTGTGTAAATGTTACAAAAGCAAGCATGCCAAATCCAGCCGCCGCCCCAAGTTGCCCAAGTGTCCCAGTGCGCTGTCCATAAAAAGAAAGTGAAAAGAATCGGGCGTCTTACACAACACTCGGCGAAGAACGAGTGGTGGTTGACACCCAAAAGTCGACCAAGAATGTTTTCCTATCCTTTGTGTGGTTGGTACAAGATCCAGGAGAGACCCGAGGCCGACGGGGTATAGAAATTTGCAATGCAATCCGATTGAGATCATGCCAGAGAGAAAATAAAAGAACAAAAACAATTCCCGGTTCTCGCAAAAGAGAGTCGGAGGAACCGAAACGCCTTTTCCTAGATCAAGCGCGACCTGGAGAAAGGGAAAAGAAGTGAAAAGCGCGGAAAGACTTAAGTCGAAAAAACTTAAGCCACAGGCGCCAGCCTAAGCTTAGACGCAGCCGCGCCGCGGAAGCGACGAGCACGGAGCTTCTTGGAGGTAGCAGCCTCGATGGCGAGGGTGGCGGTCTCGCCGGCCTTGCAGACAGTGCCAGCAGCGACGGCCTGCACCGCAGACCAGGTGCCGCTGGCGCAGCGCTGAAAGGACGAGCCGCCGATGCAGTTCCACTCACCCTCGGTGGTGCAGGCAGTACCCTGAGCGTGGGCACCGGCAGTGTTGCCACCAGAGCCAGAGCCAGAGCCGGAGCCGCTGCCAGAACCGGAGCCGGAGCCAGTGCCAGTGCCAGCGGGGGCCGCGGCAGAGGTGGTGACAGTGGCGAGAGTGGTGGGCTTGGGAGCGGGGGGAGTGATGAACACGCCACCGGGGAGGCCAGTGGAAGTGGGAACGGGAGCCTCGGTGGGAGCCTGCGTGGCCTGCGCAGAGGAAGTCGGGGTACCGTTGCCAGAACCAGAACCGGAGCCAGAGCCCGAGCCGGAACCAGAGCCGCTGCCAGAGCCAGAGCCAGAGCCAGAGCCGGAGCCGCCGCCGGAAGAGGAGCCGCAGCTACCAACCGGGGGGCCAAGCTTGCTGCCGGTGCCGGCGACATCCGGGCCGGGGTTGGGGTACTGGACATCGACACCCTCAGTGGTGGTGCAGCCGTTGCCAACGTTGGCGACAAAGATCTGGGGACGAGCGGTGAAAGCAGTGGACGCGCGCTGCTCAACAGCCTTGGCGACCTCACGCTTGGCACCACCGCCGGAGCCGATGGTGACGGCGGCGCAGTTCATGTACATCTCGCGGTTGCCGATCTCGTTGTGCCAGGTCCAGGCCCAGATGGCATCGCCCTCGGGCGCGTCGGCCGGAATGGTGAAGGGGTACTCGGAAGCCAGCGGGCAGCCGCCGACGATGGACTGGATAACCTGGAAGGTTTGGCCCTTGTCGTAGCTCAGGCTGACCTGGCACGAGCCGCCGCCGTGGCTGGCGGTGCCGTCGGTGGTGAACTTGTAGGTGTTGCCAGGCGCGAAGGTCGCAGTGGGGGCACCAGCGGGAGTACCAAAGTCGGAGTGGTAGCCCTTGCACGGGAAGTTGGCACCAGACGCCTCGAGGGGTGCGGTCATGCTGTAGTCGATGTTGGTGGCATGGGGGTTGAACTTCGACCGGAACGGAGGGGGGAAAGAGATGTCGATGTGGGCAGCAGCAAGCTGGCTACCAGCGACGAGGGCCAGAAGGCCGGTGGTGAGTCCGTTGGAGAACATCTTGGCGAAATTTGTTTTCGGTGTTTTTTGGAGGGGTGTTGTGGGTGTTGCGGGCGATCGCGCGCTCAGAAAAAGCCGGATAGGCAAAAGTGTGGTGGTTTGTTTGGTTGTGGGAGTGAGTTTTGCTTCAGGGAGTGGAAGAGGTCACTGTGTGGACCAGCGGTTTGTCTTTTTGTACGAGCACTGCTCGGGAGCCGCAGAAGGAATGAATAGGCTTTCTGTTGATGACTTGTCGCTATTGATGAACAATAGGCTTGTGTGTTGTGCAGAGTGTTGCCACAAAAATCGAAGAAGCGCCGGGCTCAAAGTTTGTTGTGGTTGAAAGTCGGTTCTGAGTGACCGTGAGGTGGGGTTGTTGCAAGAACAAGTGGAAGTGAAAAAAAGACAATGAAGCCCAAGCCGGGAGCTGTGTTGTTTCGAAGGAGGGAACGAGGCGCGATGCCGTGAGGGGTGAAGAGGAAGACAGAATAAAAAGGCGACGAAGACACAAAGGGCGGGGGAAGATGCTCTCTTTATCCTGATGTTTCTGTTCTCCCTGTTCGTCTCTTTTTGATTGGGTGGGAGCGGCTGAGAGCCCGGGCAGCGCACACATGTTTCGAACGCCCCGATGAACACACCCACTGACAGGGTACTCTCGTCCCAAGCCCCGGCAAAAAGCCAAGCCCTGAACAGCGACTCTCCCGTTGTGGGTAGGGCGTCCGCATGGGATAACAGGGGGGTGGCCTGCCAAGCAGGGGGGGGAGGAGGGGTTCACCGAAGGGCGGCCGCCCACCCGATGTTGGACGCCCTGACACATGTGGCCACGTCTGTTTCCCTCTTTTTTTTTTTCTCCCCCTGGCGCATTGCACGATCATCCCTCGCTCGGTTGCTCATCCTGCGGGCCCGTGGCAACTCGGCCACAGCGGCCACGACCAGGGCGATGGGATTTCGCCGTGCTGGGAGCCGGGAGGGGCAAGTCAGGTACGTAACCCTCCGATAGAACTCGCGAAAGGTACCTATGGAACTAAACCATCTCGAAATCTACCTTACATGTCTTACTTGGCACACACAGTTGACGAAATGCAGAAACAAACGCCCAGCAATGCAGGTCTAGTGTGATGGTAGCCGCGCGGTCTGTTGAAGATGCACCGAGTAGCCCTCTCTAGCCGCGTTTGTAGAGAAGCGGGCAGAAATGGCCAGACAGTCAAACAGTGGAAGCATAGCGCTGACTGCCCACTCGCCATCGTGAGCGGTCCAAGGGGTAACGTAACGGGTGGAAGTGGGAAGGAAGGTGGGGCAGCGGGCTTCTCGAGGTTCTGTCGAATCGCAGATCGAAGATGGCCCCGGACCAGGATCAAAAGGGGAAGGAGACGCTTGCGTCAAGAAGAAAAAAAAATGGAAGGAAGTCAAAAACCCTCAAAAGACCGATCGAGCGGCTCCTGCGCTCCCAACTCTGGATGTCTTGTCAGGGGCACGCAAGAGCGTGGTCCAATGAGAAATCGCAGGTACCTGGCCGCTTGCACAAGGCCCGACAAGGGCTGATTGGTCCATGGCATGAACACACCACCTGGTTGGTTGAGTCAAGATCCTGGGGAACCTGGCCGCAACCGCCCGAGTGGCCCCAGCGTCTGAACTTGAAACAACGCCCCCCTTTTCCCTGCACCTCCAGCATCCTAGTCTTGCGCAACTGGCAGCCCCGAGTGGTTCCTTTTCTCCATCTCGTCCTGCCCCTCGACTTTGAAGCCCCCGTCAGCGACCCAGTCCTTGCCTCGGTCCCCATCTCGTCCAAAGCTGATCAGTCGTATCGAGGCCGTGAGAACGGGCCATCTGGGACTGGAAAAACCCGGTGCGGCGTGCTTGGTCGGCTTGACCGGGGGTTAGTTACGCCCCATCGGATACGACCGCACGCACATGGGCGATGGAATGGAAATCGATGCACTTGAGAAAACGAAAGCACAATGGACTCGGTGCCGAATTTCTGTGGCCAGGGCGAAAAGTCCCGGATACGACCGTATCGAAACCGAAGAGCAGAACCCATCCGCTCACTGCCCACGCAAAGACTCGTAATGCTCTGCATTTTGTGTCTGGAACATGCTTGTTTCCTCGTACCCTGTGTACTGTACACTAGTTACGTGTAAGTCGGCACCGTTATTCTCCCGGGAGGGCAACCGTCCTGGCTTCCACAACTCCACACATAACCTGCCCCTCAAGCATAGTCCTCGGACGAAGTGGTGGGGGCCATATCATGCTGTCCGCACCATCCACGGCAGTTGTGTTTCAATATCCAGATGATCACGAAGACACAGGTGGTCGCCCACTTTGCAGGCCCTCTTCTACGTCAGGAAACTATCCGGGTCATGACAGCGGTCCGCCTGCACCCTCCCGATCTGGGCTTTCACCGCATCCCCAGATCGAACGGAGAGATGGCCGGCCACAGGGCCGCCTGGTTTTCTGAATTGGGCTCAGATTCTCCTCATTATGCAAAGAGTAACTATCGCTGCTATAACGTTAAAATAGTACATTTGCCAAAATAGCAACAGTCTACGGCAAATTCCACCCGCCTGGTTCCAGGGAAAAAAGCAGCCGATATCTCACCATCGCTTTCCATGGTCTATATGTACACTCACAGAGTCACTACCTTCACCGGTACACACACATCTTCGTTGCTGTCGCACGATGCGCTGCTAAAAACCTGGAAACGCTGAGTTGCCCCGCAGCATGCTGTTTCTCACGTCTTCCCTGCTGGCGTGCGGCGAATCCGCAGAGGCAGCCCGGCAGCCCCGCAGAAGAAACCGCCTTGCCAGCTCCAGGCGAGCCAGCTCAGTGGGCTGAACGGACGGAAATGTGGGGATTTTACCATTTTTGCAAAGCGCCGGGCCTGCGCGATCCGCCGCCCGTGCAGGTGGCGAGGGTCAGGTCAACTCAAGAAAAACCTAACACTGGCGCAGCACAAGCGCGCGAGAATACATAGATTCATCAGTAGTCGGTGATCGGCAACGCCGCCAACCGCGCGCTCAAAGCATCATCCCATCTCAACATCAAGTGAGCGGCTGCTGACGAGGCCAACCAAGACAAAAACCGTTGACATCGGACCAGGAGCGGTCGAAGGAAGAGTCAGCAGGTGGGGCCAAGGGGCGAGAAACAAAGCCCGAGAAAGAAACAAGAACGAACAGACAAGGCAGACCAGATGAACACGCGGACTGGACTCACTTGGAGACAAGACGAAACAACGAAACAAAGCGCAAAAGAAAGAACCTGGGATGAACCGACAACAATTGGGCAGCGCGAGGGAGCACGCCCGACACAGCGCAGAATCCGAGAACCCTGGATCCCTGAACTTCAGCGTTTTCAGTGTTGGGCCCCGCCTGTCACCGACTTGCTTGTTTGACTCTTCCTAGCGCGGGCACCAACCACCCAGCGGTTTCATGAACATTTTAGTTGTTTGCTGCAGACAACGCCGCGCGGCGGATCACGCACCTCGGCCGTTGGTAGAAAAGAAAAGAAAATGCAATGAGAAAAAAACGACCCAACCGTGTTTGCGTGCTAACCGTTGGCCCGAAAGCCTCAACCAACGGCACCACCGCTGTGATTCGTTCCTGACGAAGGGGTTTATCTCCCGAGACAAGAGCCAAAAACGAGCTCACGCCTCGCCACCGCGGAACACGGCAATGGCGACCGAGAGGGATCCGAGAGGAAGACACGAGGTGATGGAGCCCGCAGCAGCATGACGGTCGCGACGCAAAGCCGACAAATCCGCGGCCGGTGCCTTGCAGCAAGCAGCGGCAGCAAAACGGCTCAATGGGCGGCCCCGCTCCAACCCCTCTCATGGAAGCAACTCGGAGGTTTGTGGCCCAAAATCCTTTCCAATGCAACGTCTTGTCGGCTTCTCGACGCTCAATGACTTTCCAACTCTTGGATTTTTTTCGGTCCAGGACGGAAGAATTGGCCCTTTTTTCTTACTGGTCCGATTCCTTGGCGAGCACTCAAAGGTGTCAGAAAACCCGCCCAACCGGGCTGCATTCTCCCAGCCGAAGCATGGCTCTCGAAACCAGGCAGCCCTCCTGCCGCATTCAACCCAACTCCCGGATGGAACTCTCACTGTGGGTTTTCGGGCCGGGGTAATTCTGGCACTTTTGCTTCTGGTCTTGTTCTCTTCGTCACTGATCAAGGAGCGTTGTGGGCGAAGTTGACAGGAATCCCCACAACTTCTTCATGCAACGTTAACAAATTCCCTCCTGAAACACACGCAACAGTGTTAGCGAACCCCTTCCAACCGTTGCGGAGATCTCTTCTCTCCGCCACACAAATGGACCCTGCGCAAAACCCACGGCCCACAGCCCAGCACCCTGGCTCATTTTCCCATTTCCAAATCGGGTTCTCAACTTCATGCGTCCACGTCCACAATCATCTTGCTCCATAACACTGCCCACAGGGGCAAACTCAAAGTAGTCATAGCCCGAAGCATGACCATATCTCTCTCATTTTGTTTGCTTGAATGCTCGGATACTGTTGTCCAGTTTTTGTCATTGAGACCGAGACAACTCAACATCCCAGCGAGTTGCCGAGATGCTTCCCGTGCGATACACCCTGTGATAGGATACACGGGAGATGACGCGGGTTTGGGGTTGTGAAGTTCTGCCGGGCCCAGCATCTCGGCACACCTTCTGGCCTTGATGTGGCGTCCACGTGTCCGAGCGCGGGAACCTGCGTTTCTGTGTTTTTCTTTTTTTTTGTTTTCTCTTTCCCGTCTTTTGACATTCCCCCCCACGCTGTTGTCCCCGGATGTTGGGCTTCAAGGTGCACGGCCAGGCGGTGTGGGGTTAGGCTAGGTTAGCTCTATGAGTTTGTAGGGATGTTAGAGAAGCGAGATATGCTCGAGGACAACAGCAGCAAATCCGATGTCAAGATGCTGCGCTCTGGCTCAACACTTGTCACAGAGCGGAGATTGAGCTCAGTCCTCTAGCAGTGGGGAGGGGTTTCTCTTCAGCCACGCCGGCGTCGCCACGTCGTGACCTGTCGGATTGTGATCAGTCCTAGTATGCTCCTTGTAATGTGATGGCCCTCGCAGGCCAGGAAGTCCTTGGTTTTGAGGATCGATGGGGCCGTGGGGAAGAGCTGCCCGGTTGCCGGATAGGCCAACGCATAGCCCTGGAATTCATGCTTTGATGAGTGATTCCACAGTAGCACCTCGGGAGCATCGCGGCGACCACTCGATTATTCGCCTCATCTTGAGTCCTGAGCTTTTCAGCTCTCGGATACTCCTTGTTCGCCGTTTGGGATTCAGGTTGGGGCGCTGAAGGTGGAGGACCTCAAGTGCCAGAAGTTGGAAGTTATCGAGCATCTCCGCACTTGTCCACAAGCCCCAAAACCCCGTCAGCAGTTCAGCTCGTCCTCCACACACTGGGCTATTGCAAACCATAGGGAATCCGCCACCGTTCCACGAAACACGAGCTGTTCCTCTGCTCGAAGTGTACTGTCCACTGACAACCTATGGAGGTAGATGGGAAGGGTCTCCCTGGAAAGTCCCGCCACATATCCATACCTTAGCACCATAAGACCTAGGTAGTGTCTGGTGAAACACCCAGTTCCACCGCTTTTAGCATCACGCCCCGGTCATGAACAGAAAACATCCTGAACTAGGACGGAAGAACACTCCTGTGGCTACAGCTGTTGAGTCTAGTTGCGGAGTCTTCATGTTTCATGAAACATCTCGGCTCTGGGATCTCAAGACTTTTGCCAATCTGAAAGTTGGGCTCGGGAAATGTCATACTTGGATGTTTGTCGAGTTTTTTCCACGAGCGTGGTGACTCGGAGCCGAAACGTTTCCTTTGTTCCCATGGCCTATCCCTTGTTTAGTCGCAGGAGTCCTCCCCTCGCCACTCCTTTATCGCAAGGACAGACTGTCGGAACAACCGAGGTATCAAGTCAATATCTCAACCCAAACCACTACATACCCGCCATAACACGCACCTCCTCACTAGCAGCCTAAGAAAAAGGAGGATCGAAAACCCTCAACTTACCACGCACCCTCTTCTTACTCCTCCCGGATTAACCGATCCATCCCACCAAGCACCAAGAACAGAAAAAAGCAAACAAATCCTTCCCGCCGGTTCCAGAACCCCATCCCAACTCGCACTCTCAACCCAAACCCCCTCTTTCTCCCATCCCCAAAGCAAACCGGCAGGTCCCGCCGAATCCTTCGCCTCGCCGCTTCCACGCCGTGAGATCTCACGTTACGCCCCTTTTTTTCCCCTCTCCCCCTTTTTTCTCACCATTTTGTCCACTCCCCGCTCTCCTTCCCCTTTAAGCCTGTGCCGCACACACACCCTTGGGCCGCCTGGCCGTGATCCTTCGGCCAGTTTGTGCCTCCGCATCGGGCCGTGGGCTGGTCGGGTATTGGGCCTGTTTGGTCTGGCCGCTTTGATGGGCCGCTTTGGCCCCTGATTACGAATCGGGTGGGATTGTAGTCGGCGAGAGAGTTGCCGCTTGGATTGGATGGCTCGTCTGAGTTTCGGGGGTTGGAGGGCTGCGGACAGGGGGGACAGATGGGAGAAGGATGTTGATGAGGGCAGGATTGGAATATATTGAAGTAGCGGGACAGGTTGTTGTTGGATGTGAGGTTTGTATTTTTGATCTTTGCCAAAATGCGCACTGAGTAAAAATATCTCACTGGTGGGCGTGGAATGCCTCGAAATGTTTGGAATTTCGCAAATGGCGTCCTCCAAGACGGTGCCCCCCCTCTCTTCTAGAGTATCTATTGCTTCCTTTTCTTAGTATCCAACCCCCCCCACTCCCAGGAACTATCAACCTGACAGACATACCAACCATAGGCCAACGTCGAAAGACACCCCTCATTGCTTTTACTCGTTTCAAAAGTCCAGGAATGCCTGATGTTCAACCCATCTACAACGAGTGCTCGTCCTCATCCTTCGGGTAGAAAAAGGGTCCTATATCCTCCCGCTTAAAAACAAAACTCATCCCATGCCCAACATCAACGACCATGCATTAAGGTTGCCGTTCCAACGATAGTAATCACCCATTCATTCTCTATAACATTCCTATCTAATAGGAGTCAGCCGGACTCCGGTTCATTACCGCAATTCTCAGTGGGTGTTAGCTCTGACTACATCTTTGACCTTCGGAAAGTGTGAACTCTGAACTTCTTGCTTCACACTCACTCCCTTATAGGTACTCAGCGCCGCTCCTGTGCCGTCTATCTAGGTAGACATGTGCCCCATTAGCTAAGACACTATCTAAACCGTAACCTACGTAATCCCCCAATCCACATCAGCACTAAGTATCCCGAACACAGCTGACGGGAAAAAATACCAAACATAATTGTCATTTAACTCGGATCAAATGGACATAACCCAGACGTGACTCCATACCCTCCCAAAGAACCACGCTGTACCTTTCTATTCAATGATCTTCTCTCTTCTCTGCCTGCCCTAATCATCTCTTGAGCGAGGTCGAGCTACGTACCTAGAATAAGAGATAACTACGACAAAACAAACTGTAATTTTCACCGTCAAGTTACTTAGGCGAATTTGCCATTGCTTTTCATCTTCTCCAAGCTCCCAGTCCCAAGTGCAAGAATCAACAGCTAAAAGCACCAGGTTATGTTATGCTATCCTGTACTTTTACCTATATCTCTCTCTACCTCTCCTCTCCAACAAGAAATTCATAAACATAAAAGTTAATTATTGTTCTACCACAGCTTCCCGTAGTAAGCCTAAAGCTAGGGAATACCTAATTCCAAATCTCCATCCTGTTGCAACAGAGGTCCAACCTTATTTACATTTACCAAGAGGATAAGTCATCACCACCTGAACGTCCATGATTAATTCTCCTTTGACGATCAACGAATAGAGAAATTATTCCCAGTTCAACCCAACCCAAACTCACGCAAGTCAAACTAAGCTAATCATATCCCGTATTGACAAGTTGTAATTAAAACTCATGTTTAGCGAATCTATATACCACTTCCTCCTCCCCGATTAACCTTCAAAAAGTCATATTCCCCTGCGTATTGAGTCTCCGTGATATGTTTCGGCACACTCACCACGCTCTTTGTGGCTAGCGTTAGTGAAGTTTGGCTTGACCTGAGAGCCTAAGGTGGGAATGATGAGATTTAAATGTTAATATTTTTTTTATTATTCCCCCAAAATGAGGTTTTTTGTTTTTATGAATGCATTTATAGCTAAGGCTAGTTCCACCATCCCCCGCCACGTAAACGACTATTGTGGTTGCACCAAGGAGCGTTCATACTAACTCAAGGCTAACATGGCATAACTGCCGTTTCTTCTCCTCGAGACTAGGACCGTGATATCCGCAGTCAGACTGAACATCCGTATTGAGAAAAGCGATACATGCAGACACAACAAACACAGTCGACACAAAAAGTCTTAATAAAACTCAATTGATGCCCGCAAGGGCCGATGGACTGATGGGCCAAGGCCAAAAAGCTAGTAACTAGCAGTAGCCGGGCCCCTTCTTCTTGATCCCTCGCCTGGCAGCCCACCCCCGCTGGCTTGTCTTGTGTTGGTTTCCCTGCCGTACCACCTGCCTGCCACCCACACATACCAGGACAAAACATCGGTTGGTCTGACTCAACTCAACTTGGCTCGACTTGCCTTTAGGATGTCGTCCTCGCCTTATTTTGCTTGCCAAACAACATCGATGCAAAGCAAGCCAAACCAGACCAAACCAGCCAGCCAACCACTTCTAGTAAAAAAAAACTCTGTTCCGCTTCCTGCCCCCCTTCTCCCTTCCCCCTTCCCCTGCCCCCTCCTTGACCACCTTTTCCGACCCCTTATTCCCGCCCTCAGGCTGCTCTTGTTCAAACCTTTCCTTCACCCACCCCAACCCCTGGAAAAGCCTCCACGTCAACTCCTACTTCGCTGCTTCTCCCACACTCGTTCTTCTTCTCTCACACCCATTCTGCCTGCAGATCGCAGAGCCGCTCGCTGAGTGTTCAACAACGGGATAAGTTGCTTGGTATGGGGATGGAATAACCCCAAGCCTCCCAGTTGTAAAATGAACCGTCCAGCGACTCGGCTAGTACTCGATGAATGACGAATGGACCCAGCCTGTATGGCCCTTACAGCGCGCTTGACAAGATTTTTCGGTAAATAATGCCGTCACAGCTCATGTCGCATGGTCAGTGACTGTGTTTTTTTGTTTCCTTTTCCTGTTTTTTTTGTGTTCCTTTTTTTGTCTTGTCAGGCGCGAAAACTATGGAGCCATTCTCAACAGCTCTCAGCCAAATAATTCTTCTTCGGTAAGGTCAAGCAGATAAGCAGGCAGAATCCGGCGATACTCGCGGCGCCGCGACTCGTAACTCAGTGCGCTCTCGCAGTTACTCATTGCGGCCGCTGGCCCGAGAACTTGCCTTGCGGTTGCTGTTGCGAGTAGGCCGGTTGCTGGTACGGCATGCCGGGGCTCATACCGTACATGGCCTGCTGACCTTGATGGGAGCCCTGGTGAGAACCCTGGTGGGCCATCATTGGGGCAGTCGGACGGCCCGGGCTGGGAAAGCCGTTCGAGCCCGGTACGGGTTGAGGAGGGGCGCCGCCGGCGGGAACGAAGTGCGGCTGGGCGCCTGGGTACATGGGACCAGCAGCCACCATGCCGTTGGGGCCGGGGATGAAGCCTTGTTGCACCATCATGGGTCCTCCCATGTGGTGCGGCTGCTGGGGGATAAATTGAGGGTTATGCGAGAAGCTGCGGAACTGGCCCATCTGGGGCGCCGCGTTCATGTACGGTTGCATCATGGGTTGGCCGTACGGCATCTGTCCCTGCGGGTTCACTCCAGGCGGGTAGGCCATGGGCACCGGTCCCATCCTAGGAGACGCGAATGACTGGGCTGAGTTGGAGTGCATCATCCTATGATCATCCCCGTTGCTGAAGGGCACGTGGGGAGCGTGGCCATGCTGCTGCCCGGCGTGCATCTGCATCGGTGGCATGTGTGGTGACTGGCGCGGGGCCATGTTCTGAGCACCATGCTGCAGGTGGAACGGGAGTTGATGCTGATGGGCAACCTGGGGCATGACGTGGGTCGGGTTCGGGGTCGCAACAGCGGCGCTGGCGAGTGGGAGGCGCTCAAAGTACTCCTTGTACGTCAGCTGCATGGTAGAGTCGGGGGCCTCGGTCTGCTCCTGAAGCTGGCGCCAGGTGGGGAGTGTGTCGAAGGAAGGCTTAAGGCCATCGTTGTCATCCCAGTTGCGGCCCTCGGGCGGCTGAATGGTCTTGATATGCGATAGGATGAAGCACTTCTTGACGTCCACGGCCCTGGTCTTGCGGCGGATGAGCTGTCCCTTGGCCGGAGGCGGGGGGGCCGGCACCTCGGCAATGTTGTTAACGGACGACCGGGGAGACGAGCCAGAGCTTGGGACGGCTGGGTTGAACGGCTGGGCAAACGCGTTCGGGCGGAACTCGTGGCTGTTGGGGTTCAGCTTGGGGCCCATGTAAGCTGCGGGCGGGACGGCGTTCATGCGGCGGCCAAAGGCGGGGTCGACGCTGTTAGCCGGCCCGGTAGGGGGAAGCCGCATGTCCGGAGGGGCGTGATGCTGGCCCATGTGAGGGTGCTGCATCTTCTGCTGCTCGACGTTTCGCAGCCGCTGCGCAAGGTTGCCCGTGGGCTGGTTCTGGGCGGCCAGGTGGGGCGGCCCGCGGTTGTTCCGGTTGTATTGGTAGTGAGACTGGGGGTTATAAGAACGGGCACCCGGATGACGCCCCGGAACGCCCGAAGACGAGCCCGAATGCTGCGGCGCAGGGGGACGGGAGGCACGAGTCTCGGTGGTGGTGGCGGCCGGTGTTGAGGCGCCTGATTGTTCGGCACTCGTCTTGCCCGGGCCCTCCTTGACCGGCGGGGCCGGCTCCTTCTCCTTGACCTCCTTCTGCTTGGCCAGCACCTCCATGTTGAGCTTCGCCTTGTCCTGAATCTGCTTCTGCTTGGCCGGGTCTTTGGCAATGATGGAGATCAGGTCAGTGGGGACGGGTGTGAAGAGCTTGAAGTTCTCCGCAAACTTCTTGAGCTCCGTCAGCTTAACCTCCTTGTCAGCCTTGGCCCTCGTGGTCCTGACTTTCTCGGCCATGGACCGCTGTGTAACGGCAAAGTTCTTAAAGGAGGACAGCACGTCGCGCTCGACGTTGGCAGTCACGCCCGGTACTGGGCCAGCCTTCGGGGTGCTGCGAGCGTTGCTGCCCGAGGGGCGGGTAGCGGTGGCATCCTTGGCCTCCGCGGTTTTGGCGTCGGCAGCAGGTTCTACCTTGCTTTCGGGCGATTTCTTCCCTTCGACGCTGGTCGCGGCCGGGGCGACCTTGGGTTCGGCTGGTTTATCGGTGACGGGGGCAACGGGCTTCTCGAGCTTCGACTCGATCGGCTTTGAAGGTTGGGCCGGGGCGGGTTTGGGCACGGGCGCGGCTTTGAGTTGCGATGAGATAATCGCTGGGTCAACCGGAACACCCTTCACGGTGGCCTGACCGGTGGGCGCACGGCGAGCTGGCGGCGTGTACTTGTTCTCTCGGGGATTGAGAGGTGGGAAGTCCTGCCGGCGTACACCGCTATATCTGCGTCGGGTGTCAGCACACGATCTTGTCTCGTTGCAAAGCGGGAAAGGGCAGTATTGGTACGCACTTATCCTCCTCGTCCCTTTGGTCCTCCCCTCCAACAAAGTCCATCACACGCTCTTCCGCGACGTGGGAAGTGGTGGGTAAGCTCCGCTCGATTTCGCGCGCCTTCCGATCGGCGGCCGCCAGACGCTCCTTGTACTGCGGATGGCTCTTATCAATGGTGGTTGTGTAGATATTCTCATCGTAGTCGGTCCTCAGACCAAACAGCCGCTCATTCTCCGCAAACTGGTCCCAAGGAACGCCGTTGTTCTTACTACCGCTTCCGCTACCGCTCGACTTTTCCAGCGACCCATCGACTTCATAACTGGTGTCGGGAACCCAGGCCTTTAGCGCCCTCTCGGGGCCAAGGCGGGAATTGGAGATGGCCGCGTCGGTCCGGAAAGAGGATCGATTGCCTGTGAAAATAGATCTTGTCAACACGAGTACGATAAAACGACCGCATGTCATTGGCACCGTTGCCTACCGTTCGGGGCCCTTCCGTCATTTTTGTTGTTGTTGTTGGATAGCACGCGGGCATCCGCGATATCCTTACGTTGGAGCGTCATTGTGGGCTGCTCTGTTCTACCGGATCCGTTTGTGAGGTCGGTCGAGTTGGAAGATTTCTTCTGCTGTACCATGCTCAAGCGGCAGCTGGCAGCGTCGGCACCGTTGCTGTACGTGCCCTCGAACTCGGCACCGGAGGTCAACGTAATGCGAACTCGCTGGCCCTAAAGAGAAGCTATCAGCGCAAAGTCCACCGACTTGGGCGAGTGCCGCATCGGATTCGCTCGGCTCGGCGGTGATTTTGGGCACACCGTTCAAGCTTTGTGTCGAGTCGTATGATCGGTTGGGGAGGGGGGGAGAAAGAAAGAAAGCGAGTGACGTTTGGGAAAGGGGAGGGGGGAAGAGTAGGAGAGCGGGGCGGTGGGAACGAAAAGAAGGGAAATAGCGACTTACTTCGCGAAGGGAGCTCGTCACAGACTGCTTGCCCTGCGGAGTTTGCGATCGACCGGTGATAGGGTTTCGGTTCGAAGTCCACGCTTTTTGCTGGACAGGAGGTTGTCTGTGCGGCGTTAGTCAACCAATTCAATGCCTGGTCGAGGGGCGTGCGCTGCCGCAAGTGCACAATGCGGTCTCTGGAGGGCGTGGAGAGGCGCAGCGACCTTGACCGATTGAACGGGAATGAAGGGAAAAAAGACAAGGAAGGAAAGAGCGTAGAATGGAGAAAGAGTAGAGGGGGAGTCAGATTCCAAAACCCGATCGAGGTAAAAGACGAAGGTAAGGTCGAAGGGGACAAGGGCAAAAAAAAAAAGTGCCAGCAAAGTACGAGAGTCACTTTGCGTTGGCGGGGAGGTTGCAGCGAGGCTTTCCCAAAATGTCGGGCGGGTGGAAGGAGCTGGTGGTGGGAATGGATTGCGTGGGAACGGTGTCTCGTGTCTTACCTTGAAGTCGGAGGCGAAGCGGTTGCCTCTGCGGCCCTTGATCGCTGGTCACCGAGCTTGCTGCTATAGAGAGGACGAGCGGCGGACGCCTTGTTGGAGTCGGTCGCCGTCGATGATTGAGAGGGCGATGCGACAACGGGCTTTGAGGTTGTCGATCGGCCTTCCATAGTTCCTGTGCCCGGCCGTTGAACAAGTCGGGGCAGCTTGTTTAAACTTTGGGGAAAGAGGGTTGCGGGCGGGAGATGTGCGGGAACGGCAGAGAGGGAAGATTGTTGGAATTGGGCCAATCAGCGTGCTGATTGGTGGGCGCTGGCTGCTGGGCGAGCTGGGTTCTGGGGAGCCCTGGGAGGGAAGGAACCCGGGCGAGGGGTGTGGTGCAGGAATCTAGGAAAGAAACCTTGGGTGATTTTTGCTGCGCCTAGCCAAACCTGTAAATCAACTCAGAGACGACCACGGTGGACGGCGTAACCACACAGCTGCCCGCGCTGCTTCCTTTTATGAGGTACGAATAATAGCACCTCAATAACGTGCTGCGCTGCGTGCACGGCCGGCTCCCTCAACGTGCGACCACCGCAAGCGGAACCTTAGGCTGGCTGGGAGGTATGTAGGCTTGGCAGATTTGTAGAGTTCCCGATTGGAAGCTTTCTTTGTGCACCAGGGGCATCCGTGTCGGCCCCGCTTACCGTCGTCGTTAGCGGTCCTTGCTCAAGAGCGTGATGTTTCTCCTTGCCGTGGCTTGGGAATCGGAGTTATGGCCGCGCGCTAACGCCAGAGTCGGAGGAAGCCGATGCCGTGGGGTTGGGAAGAGAGGGGAAAGTGCGATGTCGAGAAGAGTAAGGTACCCAGCGGAGAGAGAAAGTAGTAGCCGAATGCAGGGTTAACAACGGCACTGGACTGGGCACTCTTGCGGAACGGAGTGTCTCGCGTGTTTGGGTAGAGAAGCGGAGAGGAGAACGATTTTGAACGGCAATAGTGGTAGGGAGCTCTTGGGGTAGCTGCACGTCAAAAAGAAAATTATTTCTTTGGAAAAGGAAGCACGAGCACCAGCAATTCAGGGCACCGGAAGGGCAGAACCATACCCTTTTACCTACGGGTTTTCCTCCGATTCAACACCCAATGATCATGTTGGCCGCCTCAAATGCCCTCCCAGAAGAACCTCGTGACCCTCTTGTGGTTTTGGATGAAATGGGCGGCGTTTGACGCGGAGACAAAGGGCGGCCTCAAAACACCAAAACCTTTCCACTCGTTGTCGCATCCATTTGCTGGCAGCCATGGGGAGCACCGACCTTGTGGGCGAGCTTGGTCACAGCTCAACTGGCGCCAGTCCACTTCTGGAAACGGTCCCCTTGGCGGGGTTTTGATCGCCAGCCAAGACCCACGTGATTTGTGCTTTTTGGAACTGCATTTGGTGACTGGCACGATTGGGTCTTTGCCCCTGGTGACACAATACCTCAGCATTTAACTCAGGCTATTCGTACTCTGTATGGGACGCGGTCAGTCGTAGCCCACGACGAATCAACAATGAGAGCTTGCATCACACAGCTTGCGGTCTTTGTTCTGGGAAGCATACTCCACGGGGCCGCTATCAGCAAAGAAATATTCCATAAGCTACCTACATACGGAACGGCTGACGAAAAATCCACGGCGACTTTTCGGGCCACTGGTGATTCCGAGTTTCCATGTTGCGGTCTGATTCGGGCTCGGGTTTCTTTTTCCCCTTTTTGTTTGATCCCAAAGGAAACGGGAAGGTTCAGCACCGGCGTCATTGCTGTGGATGTGCTGCAGGTCAGGCATGTTGTGCTTCTGGGTCTCCACCTCTAACGCCTGTCTTGTCAACTCTTAGTTCTCTAACCACCTCAAGTCGCTTGCGCCGTTTGGCATCGAGTTTGTGCAATACCGACCATTGGTAAACGCACCGATATCTGAGACACTTCGCACTCCGGCCTCCGAATGGTTTCTGTCAGGGGCGGGTTGCGCATGTCAAATGGGTGTGTTAACACTTCGGTTTTGATGTCCCAGGTAGTTGGTGGAAGGTATCTAGGTCTGGGACCATGCAGGTTGCCCGCATCGTCTTCTCTATTTCGTAACCGGTGGAGCTTCCACGGGCAATACTGGACTCTGGCAACCTTTGGCTGATTGACAAGTTTCTGATGACATGTCTGCAGTCCATCTGGAGAAACCAAACCTCGCATCCGTAAATAGTTATACTTCAGCCGGTTATATCCCAAAAAGCCGACCCTGTGGTACGCGCCGTAGGACTTCCGGTGCCCCAAGATGATGACGGCAGCCATAGGCGGTTTATGATCTTTGAGGCACGGCTTGTTCTAGCGACCACATGTTCTTCCGGTCGTCCTAGTGACGTGATGGTAACGTCCAAAATGCAAAGCGCATAAAACAGAAGCTTGGAGGGCGTTATGAGGTTACACACACAATGAGTTAACGATGGCGCGTTGTAGGCCCAAAAGGTCATCCGGAGAACCACACCTTAGTATGACTGACACCGGTATTGTCCTTCGAGTGAAGAAGCTACATGGCGCCCGAATTGCCGGCGTGGGGAGGATAATACGTGGGCCCAACCTCGCTACGCTAGGTCATTGTTTATCGCATTTTAATCCTGCGATGAACCTGTGCCGCGACCTTTTGCAAAATGTGTTTAAGAAACCTCCCGTCATCTAATTCCGGCGAGATGGTCCGTTCGCTTCTGGCTTTGCGGGCCTTTGCCCTATGAATCCGACGTGGAATAGAGCCTCCAAGAGACACATGATTTGATGAGTGTCCGAGTTTCTGGCAAGTTGGCACCCGCTGAGGGGGTTTAGGAACATTGATGAAATCAACGCATCGATTTCGAACATGATGGTATGTAGATAAGAGGAGAGCGATCCGGGATTGGTGGTTGGAAACCCGTGAAATGTAAATCAGCGCAGTGGGTGGGGTTAGCTAAGATGATGAGCTGATTCTGACCACATTCCCAATCTTCGGTTTCCAGCTGCAAGCCGTCATCTTCCGGCCTTCAAAACCTTGAGTGACTACACTACCTACCTAGGGGGGTGAGCATTGAAGATCAGCTGGATGAAGTCGGGCGCCACGGCATGACGTCCTTCCGTTTCTTACGGTATTACCCCGCCGAGGTGTAAACTTCAACAGCGCAGCCCCCGAGAACGCGGTCTTATGGAAACTCCAAACGACGGAAACAAAGCTTCCAACCTTTGCCTTCTTCGTGTTTGAACATAACTTGATATCCCGGTATGATGTTGATAGGGAGCTGATATCAAAAGATCGAGGTCTTGGTTCGTCCGTAAGGATCGGCATGTTATAGAATACCGTACGGAATCCGAGAACACAAAAGACAACGAAATCTGGCTGGATGTGGCAAGGCGCCGAGCACCACCGCTGCAGGCAGGGGTTGACGGGTTCTCGAACGACAGGGAGTCTCGCTATGGCCAAAAAAAGCGGCACACTAAGTCCCTGGATAACTTACTTTGCTAAGAAAAGTGAAAAAAGACTAAAAAGAATAAACCAAAAAAGGGAAAGAAGAGAAAAAAGAATAAATCCAGCAAGTGAAAAAATACAAAAAAGAGTATATCAATCAAAATTTATTAAGATTTGATCGAATGTTAATGGATTAGACTTGAGCTATCTGTTTTAGTGTGTCGCTTTTTTTGGCCACAGCGAGGGAGTGTTGGTGTCTTAAGAACGAGCATCGGAGGGTGAGGGAAACAAAGCAAAGCGAAACAAGAAAATGGTGATTACATTATACGAGAAGTCGTAAACTTGAGCAACATCTAACGCGAGTCACCTTTTGACTCGGCTTAGCGAGGCTGGTGTATTGGATTTTTTGTAGTGTGGCCCCCAGGACTGAAAGCCCCACAAGTTATGTTCGGCCCGTCGGCCTACGACACGAGCGGACGACTCGTCCCTCCAACCCCCCAGCAGGCAGTGGAGTGGGACTCTCCGCACCCTCGCGAGAGGATGATTGTCCCTCCATACATCCACCAAAGCCTATCTCCCACAACCTCTTGGACGCCCTGTTTCTCGCACGAGCCACCGCATTCTGGGCTCTCTCAGACTCGACACACACCAGCCAGGAAATAATTTTGACTTGCGACCGGAGAAAGGGCGCCATTTTCGCACGCTCCAGCCCCCCCAAATACCCCGGCCGAGCGAACCGCTTCGAAATTCCACGCACCCCTGCTTTAGGTTGGGCAGCAAGAGAAGGAGAGAAAGAGGCAGGAAACGAGAGAGAAGTTGCATGCGCGCGAGTGGGGGGAGGCTAAACAACGAGTTTGCGACCGTGGGAGTGTCAACATACAGAGCAGAAGAATGAATCCGAGGGGCTCACATCGTCGGTCGCCCGGCGTAACAGAGCAACCGGCCCCCCCACCAAATGTTCCTCCACGATCGATATCGCCCGCCGTGGGTGTTGGTACGAACCGACCGGTTGCGCCGCGTGCTGCTGGCTCGTCGAGATCGATGCAGCCAGTGAGCAGCGCAGGCGCGAGTGGGAGCAGGAGTGACGGGACTCGACGGGCCAACGTGAGTTTCCAGCCTCTGCCGATTTCTCCTTTTCCTTGTGCCTCTCCTCGCAGATCCAGATTTGGCCGCCGGCTTTATGCATTGCGAGACTATGAGTTTCGGATTTTGGCTGTACCTTGACTGGAGCCTTGACTAGAGCCGGCACTGTCATTTCGTTTCAGCGGGCGTCTTTTGTCATTTCGTTTGTGCGGGTGTAAGCACCCGGTCGTCTTGTGTCCATCTGCTAACCAAGATACCCACAAAGTCGTCAGGAAGCACCAACACCTCGGTTCCGCTATCGCAAATTGAAAAGAGCGTCACACACCTTCTCGTCGCCACGAAACAACTTTTGGAAACACTTACACAATGGTCGCGAGGGAACGCCACCGACACTCAGGTGTCCGACGTCTATGTCCGCCTGGGGTACGAATTCAACATGGCCTGCCGAGCATTTACTGCAATCAACGTCGACACATCTGACCTGGGAAATGTCCCCGAGCTGCTGCGAGAAATTTTGGAGTCTACTCTGAGCCAGGAGGCTAGTGCCGAAAGCCTGGAAAAGTACCTGCCCAAAATCCGCGATATCATCATCAACTTACTGCACGGGCTCAAGCGGAAACAGACGAGACTCCGACAGAAGCAGCAGAGGGAAAGAGATGGCCTCCCCCCTGGTAGTGAAGGCAGTGGTGATGCGGGCAGCCCTCCAGCGGTTCCGGCCCGGACCACCAGTACAAGCACAACGGGGAGCGTCAACTCGGGCCTGACCAACTTATTAAATGAAGGCTTAGAAAACGGAGGCTTCCGGCCGAGCAGCCAGCGGGATGAGGGCACGCGTACCAATGCGACCGCAGCGCCATCTCCTACTAAACGCTTTATTCAGCGAGAGCACTCCCGTGGATCCGCGAATTCGGACCAGTCCAGCCTATCCAGCAACACGATGCAGAGCATACCGGTGCTGCCGCCCTACCCAGGCGATGAGACGATCCCGTCAGGCCCGTCGGCAAGCGACCTGAGCAGCCTGGATAACTTCCCCCCGCCTCCGCCTCCGCCCAAAGCATCGCAGCAGAGCGCGCTGGCGGCTTTGCAACGAGGAGGTGATTTAGAGCGGCGAGCATCTCGGCGGTACTCGGCGTATCAGATCTCAAAGCACTTGGGCGCCCAGGCGCAGGGGATCCCAATGCTCCCGCCCCAGACAAGCCCGATACCCAACCGGGGGAGAGGCGAAGTCAGGGAATCGATGCGGGCTATGCAAGCGAGGGATAACAACATCAGTGGCAACAGCCTCCGGCACAAGCGGAATATGTCCAGCCAGTCGCGTGCCAACAACCTCGATAGTACGTCGCCCGTCAGAGTCCCGAGCCGGGTCCCGGAAGAGCAGCAAGAGGGCCGTCCCGTGCAGTCGTCTGCCCCACGTGTTGAGCTCCCCGGGATAGAGGACGATAAGTTCCGGCCCAGCGCGACCTTGAATGGGCCGCCGTTGGATGTTTTCCCCGGTGGCGGAGATGCCGAGGAGGAAGAGGAACCAGTAAAACCTGCAGCGTCAACGCCTGCAGCCGCTCCTGGGCCGACGCAGAGCCCAGCCACCCCACAAGACTCGACAACCTCAACAGCCCGGGCGATCACCCCTGATAAACCGCCGAGTGCCTTTACGGAAACACCGCCCGCGACGAAGGAGCTGACTCTATTCTTGCAATACAAGTCCAAAGTCAAGAAGTTTGTGCTCTCTGAAGGTTACGAGGAGCTCTCAATTGGGCGTTTGCAGCTTGCATTCATCGAGAAGTTCTCATGGAACACCCAGCAGAACGGAGCTGATCTGCCTGAAATCTACATCCAGGACCCCGTATCAGGCGTCCGCCACGAACTAGAAGACCTGTCCGACATCAAGGACCGCACAGTGCTAGTGTTGAATGTGGAACAGCTAGACGAGGTCAAGCGACACATCGACGACGGCCTGGGCTCGATCAAGAAGATGATGGTGGAGATGAAGCAGAATGTAGACGACCACGGGGCCGCCCTGCAGAGGGTCTCGGAACGGCAGCAAGAAACAGCCAAGGATGTGGCTCGGCTCGCGTCTGCCCCTCCTCCTCCTCCTCCTCCGCCCCCCGCTGCTGTCCCAGCAGCACCGGCACCAACGCCGGCAGCGCCCGCCGCCGTCGGTGCCTCTTCCCCCCGGCAGGTCGGATCCACGTTCGCCTCGCGCAAACTCAGCGCGGGCCAGCTCTCTGAGATCCAAAGCCTCCGCCGCGACCTAGCCGTGCTCCGACAAACCTACTCCAACTTCCAGTCCGAGGTCCAGGGCTCCATGTCGGCGCTGCGCACCAAGGCAGCCAACGTCAAGGCGACCGCCGTCAAGGTGGCCGTCCCCGATATCGAGGGCGAGGGCGGCCACACGTATGTCGTCAGCGGGCGTAAGCAGCTCAACGCCGACAGCGACCGGCTCGTCAACCGTGTCGACGACCTCCAGGACCTCGTCGAGGACTTGCGCAAGGACGTGGTGCACCGCGGTGTGCGTCCGCTCCCGCGCCAGCTCGAGGCCGTCACCCGCGACATCACGCTCCTCACCAAGGAACTCAGCAAAATGGAGGACTATATGAAGCAGGAGAAACCGCTCTGGACCAAGATCTGGGAGAAGGAACTCGAAGACGTCTGCCAGGGCCGCGACGAGCTGCGCATGGTCGAGGACCTCATCGTCGACCTGCGCGATGACCTCGAGAAGGCCTCCGAGACCTTCGCCCTCGTCGAGCAAGCGACCAAGGAGCAGATGAAAGACGTCGGCGCGGGCGGCGGCGCGAACGGCGCTAATGGCGCGAACGGCCCCTACGGACCCAACGCCATCATCGCGCGGGGCCAGTTCACCAAAGGACTGACCTCGATCCGCGAGAATGCCGCGCTGGCCGATCCCAACGCTGCGAAGGAGGGTGTGCTGGGTGAAGTCCGGGCGTTGCAGCCGAATCACGAGAACCGGTTGGAAGCGATCGAGCGTGCGGAGAAGTTGCGGCAAAAGGAGCTGGAACGGCGGCGCGAGAATCCGCTGACTAAGGAGCTGGTCATGTTTGTTGGGGAGGGGAAGTTGAAGAAGTCGGGCGGGTTTGAGGAGGTGGAGAGGGCGAGGAAGGCGAAGGATGATCGGATTCGGAAGGAGGTGTGGGAGAGGATGAATGGGATTGTGGCGATGGATGAGGGGGGGGATGTTGGTGAGGAAGAGGAGGACGGGGTGGGGGAGGAAGAGGAGGAGGGGGTGGATGGTGAAGGTAGTGTTGGTGATGGGGTAGAGAGTGGGGAGTATGGGAGTGACGGGGAGGTTAACGGAAGTGGTGCTGTGGAAGTGTCTGCTGGTGGGCCGTAGTATTTTCTTTGCTTTGCTTCTCCTTTTTTTTGCTCTTTCTATTTATACGTCCAGCCATTCCCACACGCCCAATTGGATCGTTTCTTTACTTTCTTTGCTTTGTTTCGTTAGGCCGGGTCGGATTTGTTGAGCGTGTCCCTTTGTTTGTTTCTTTGTGGGTTGTTTGTGTCTGGCGATTTACGCTCGGCCCTTCGGTTTTAGCTGGTTGGTGGAATGGGTTCTCGGTGGATAGGTATGTGTGGTATGAATGGGCTCGGAAGGACAGGGTTGTATGGATATGGATATGGATATGGACATGGACATGAGTATGGGGATAGGACGCTGTGAAGGACTGTATACGCAGCCGGGAAGTTTCTGATGAGATGCACCGTTTTCTATTGTTGCGGAATATCCCTCCTGTTACTGCTGCTACAGCTAGTTCCCTGACTTGTGGGTATTCGTTTTTTTGATGACCTTGTGGAGGTTCTAGGTGGAATGGGCCGGGACAAGGAGAAGCACCGCGGAGGAGTGATTATACCCGAGTAGTTATTCTCGTGTTTCTATGCTGCTGGTATCTTGTTTCGCTCGTTATATATCCCGTTTTATTTCTTTGCTCTTCGCCCCTCGTTTCCGGGCTCTTCGTGATGTTTTGGATACCCAAGATCGCGGTGGATCAGAAACGGCAGGACATGGTTCTGTGGTTTTAGTCAGGTGTGAAGGCCATGTTGGGTGTTATCAGCCCAAGAAGTGTCTGCTCCTGTTCACTAGGAGAGTTGTCTCACAAGACCGAGTAAAGCACAATAATGCAGAGTTCTTAATGACGCTGACTTGCATTCATGTGCATGAACGTAGTGAGACTCCAGTCAATGAAGGGAGGAGGGGTGATCACTACATGTAAGTGGAAGCCCCGCATCTGCCGTGGCGGTCTTTAGCAGGACTGTCCGAGGTTTCATTCCCCTCTCCTCGCACCATTTACATTGCACATCGGGTTTATAAAGTTGGCTTGTCATTTCCGGACGGCCGCCACTAAACGTCGTATCCGCACCTAACTCGTATTTCGCAGGTAACGGAGACCGATTTCACGATGAGAGAAGGAAGGGGCAACCCTCCCTGCCTGCCTGCTTGGTCCCGATACCCACATGATCTGCATGCAGGATGGCCAAACGGCTGCTGTGGGCGAGACAGAGAGGATTGATGGTTGGGCAGGTGCGACCGTTCTTAGGTCAGACATGCCGAACAGGATTGGGCTAGGAAGGCGGGGTGCAGCTTGGGACGGAGGATTAAGTATTCGGGGTTTGGTGTTTGTTTTCCGCTGTTCGACCATTCGGTTTACTCAATTTCAGAACATCGGCACCTTCGCATTGATATTGGCACCAACGACCATCCGCCAACATGACACCCGAATTTGAGGCCCGCGTGAAAAAGGCCGTCGATGATGGCTATCTCCCCGGTGTCACCATGCTCGTGAAGGACAAGTCCGGTGAGGCCAAGTCACTACCTGCGCAGCTCACACTTCACTTACCCGCTCTAACAACACGCAGGCAAAATCGACTACGATTTCTCCTACGGCCCAACCAGTCTCAAGCCCGATGCACCTCCCATCACCACCAACACCATGCTCACCATGGCGTCCCTCACCAAGCTCATCACTGCCTGCTGCATTCTCAAGATGGTCGAGGGCAACATTCTCGACATAAACGAGGATATAACCAAATACGTCGAGACCCTCGCCAAGCAACCTGTCCTCCAAGGCTTCGATGACGAGGGCCAGCCCATCCTCGTCAAGCGCGAAACCCCGTTTACACTGCGCCACTTATTAACCCATACCGCGGGGACAGGATACATCCTCAAGGAAGAGCCGCTGGCGAAATGGGCCAAGGCCACGGGTCGCCCGCTGCCGGTGCCGCTGCGGCACAGTCCCCTTTCCGGAGGTATGTCGGTCGACTCGCGGTGGGGGTACCCGATTCTGTTTGAGCCAGGCACTGGCTGGGTGTATGGCAGTGCCATGGACTGGGCGGGGAGGTTGATTGAGAAGTTGACGGGGACGTTTTTCGACGATTACATGCACGAACACGTGCTGGAGCCCGTCGGGGTGCCCAGGGGAGCGATCACCTTTCACCCAGGCCGGTTCGACCAGCCCACATACGACATCATGGCCGAGTTCGGACAGCGCAGCACCCCCGAGGGCACGCTTGAGCCCGCTTACACGGAGTATGACAATGATAATGAGGCGTTTGGAGGTGAAGGGCTGTTCGGTGGGATGGGCTCCTACATGAAGGTGCTGCACTCGCTATTGATGGATGACGGCAAAATCCTCAAGCCCAAGACGGCGAAGCTGTTGTTTACGCCGCTGATGACGCCGGTTGAGAAAGCAGCGCTCAATGAGGACATGAAGCACCCTGAGTGGGCTGTCGGTTGGATCCCGCCTTCGGACACGGGGGTAGAGTACGACTGGGGCGCGGGTGGGTTGTTGTCAGTCGGCGGGGAGGGGCTGAAGCACAGGAAGAAGGGGTTCTTGATGTGGGGTGGGGCATGGAACGCGGCTTGGGTGAGTGTTTTTATCTTCGAGTTTGGCTTAAGGGTCATGCTAACGAGGTGACAGTTCATTGACCGCGAGGCTGGGGTGTGTGCGGTTTTTGGGACGCAGATTATTCCGCCGGGCGATGCGTTTACGAGGCAGATTGTCAAGGAGTTTGAGGAGGCTATTTATTCGCAGTTGTAGGGAGAAGAGAAAGGGGGGTGAAGGCAGGGCTATTAGAACCATTGATAGTAAGCATTGGCAGGGCGGAAGTGCCTACCAAGAGCGTGGTTGCAGAGGACTCCAATAAGAAGAAATGCAAATACAATGGGACGGGCGCACATCAATTATACTGTCAACACTCTCGAGATGGGATATGATATGAAATGGAAAAAAAGTAAAAGAAAAAAAACGCAAAAAGCTCACTGCCCACTTCCTCCGGTGAGGTTGTGGAACAGTTACGAAAACCCACGGGAGGGTTTTGCTTCGGTGACCGTACCGGGAGTCGAACTCCCGGCACGCGGTATCGCGGGCATGGGTGGCACGCCCGCACCCCCCCAAATACACCATCCGCGGTTGGGCATTTGCCGGATGGGGGGGGCTGTTGGAAACTGGTAGTGGAAAGGCGGGTTATAAAGGGCGGCAGGCCCGGGTGAGAGGAGGGCACGTACGTGGTATAAGGCAGACAGTCAGGCCTAGTTCTTTCTTTTCGTCGGTTGGACGTTGGATTACCGTGGCATCAACCACTGTGTTGAGAGCAGTAAGGAATGGACATTCCACATGGCTTTGGAATCTATCTGCTGCTTTAAAGGAGATGAAACTACCTAGTTATGTCAGCGACGTGATGCAGTTTGGAACTACCTCAGGCATGGTGGCCTGATCGAATATCTTGTGACCCTGAATACCGGATCCGATCTCAATGCTTGTCTGTTCCGAGACTGAGCGAGCGCATTCCTACATTCCCTTGTTATCAGGGCCTGTTGGGGTTAGTAAAATAATTACGTTACATGGTTAGTTGAGGTCTTGTGTATGTGACTTCACTTAAACTTGGGCTCAAGTTTGGACTTGGTTCTAGTTCATCTTTCTTGGAGCTCGTCTCGATTCGACGTTTGATCTTGTACTTGGATGGGCTTGGGATCTCTGTCTCAGTCCCAGGAGCTAAATCTTGTTTAGTTCCGTCTTCGCAAATTGGACCTCGTCTGTTCTACCCTGCTTTGGCTATGTTGAGTGATACAGCGTACATCATCAGTTGACCCAATAAAGCCTGGTTTGAGTTGATTTGATTTGGCTTGGTTTCCACATTACAGTTAATATATCCACACATTTCTTTCTTTGTTTTTTCGTTAACCCTCATCCCCTCCCATTCTCCCGTGAATACAATTCTTATACACTCCATATCTCACTCCCACACCCCCGCAGATATCAATCTGATATATCCACCCAACTACTTGATATACACGTATAAACACTCTTCCCTCATCTCCAGCTCGCCTGTTTCCTCTCCGTTGAGTAATGTTGGTATCATGTGGAAACCCACACCATGCCATGTTATGCCATGTGACGCACGCCAGGCTGTGCCAGGTCACGCACTCCATGCCGCCGAACCAGACCAAACCAAACCAGGCCAAAGCAAAACAAGCCACCAACCACGTCATCTCTCGATAAAAACCACCGAACCGAAAAGCCATAACAAAACAAAACAAAACAGAACAGAACAAAACTCAAAACGCAAAACGCAAAACGCCGGTATGTTGGAGTAAACTCCAGCCCAAACCCAAGCCCAAGACTCCAAGTCTTCAAAAGGGCTCCAAACTTAATACCGTCTCTCCCCACCCCCCATAGCCCCCTCACTCGGGCCCGGCGGCCCCGGCCGTAACTGCCGACCCAAAATCCCATTTCCACTTCCACTCCCACCACTTCCACTTCCACCTTGACCTTGCTGTTGCTGCTGCTGCGCCTCCCTTAGCTGGGACTCTCTCATCTGGCTCTCACGCATTTGGTTTTCCCGCATCTGAGCCTCTCGCATTTGCTGTTGATGGACATGCTGATGTTGCTGCTGTTGGTGCTGATGCGAGAATCCTTCCCGCATTTGTTGATCCCTTAGTTGTTGGTCCCTTACTTGTTGCTGTTGCTGTAGATGGGAATGCGCGTATTCACTCTCCCTTTCTCGTTCCCGCTGCTGCTGCTGCTGCTGGATATGAACTTGATGGTCGCCTCGCATGATTGATTCATGGCTTCCGTAAGCGGAGCTGCTTGCTGATGGAGGTCCCTGACTTTGACTTTGCGATCCAGGGGGACCGGGTGGTCCCCGCGGCGCACCCTGTGATCCGCGTAGATCAAATCCGCCCGGTACTGGAGTGTAACTCCGTCCTGGTAATTCTCGACCCGGCGGCGGGTGCTGTACCGCTGGTCCGGGGGTGTTCGCGTACCGCGCGTACGGAGCCTGCGGTCCACCGGTGCTTGAGTTGGCACTGCTCCCACCGCCGCTGGTGGGTTGTTGCTGTTGTGGCTGCTGAGGCGCTAGAGGCGTTGGTTGTTCGCCCCTACGAATGGAATCCTGCGGAGACGGCACGTACCGGCCGGCACTGCTGCCGCCGCCGAGGGAATTGTGGTGTTGGTGGTGAGGGTGTGTGGGCATACCGGTTGTCGGGCTTTGGGATTCGTACACGGATGGTCCACGAGGATCACGTAGGTTGAGGGGGTGCGATTGGTGAGAGGCAGAAGGTTGTTGAGCTTGTTGCTGCTGCTGTTGACCAGGCCCTGCTGTCGGCCAGACATGGTGTTGCTGTGCTGGCAACGGGCTGCTGACGGATGGCTTCGTGGGAACACCGCCATTCTGCGCGGCCCAGGCCGATTGAGTGGGCAGAGACTGCGAGGGCTTGGGCGGTGCCTGATGGGGTGGCCAGCCAGACTGTGAAGGGCGTTGCTGGTGCCCGTGGTGCGGCAGAGGTTGTTGTTGAGGATGGTGTTGGTGCTGGTGAGGGTGCGGGTGCTGGTGTGGATGCATGGGCTGTTGCTGCTGCAACCACGACTCACGAGGTGCAGGAACCGCTTCTCGTCGGCCCGACATGGACGGATGAGGAGGGTACTGCGATGGCGGCGACGGGGGACGAGACTGACTGACTTGGTACGTTTGGTACGGCTGCTGGGTTGGGTAACCACCTTGACTGGACTGCGAGTGCTGCGGATGATGTTGCCCAGGTGGAGCGTACGGGGTGTGCTGTGACTGAGGCGAGTTGGAAGCGCTGATGTGCTGGGCTGGGTAAGAATGCCGAGCGTAGTAGTCTCTCTGGGCATCCGGCCCCGTATCCATACGCTCCATGCGATCCATACGGTCCATGCCCGGCATGCCGGAGCTTGGCACGCGCATGTGTCCAGGCTGCGGCGACTGGGTGTGGTACGGTTTGAGCGGTGGGATGGCAGATTGCGGCGGTTGCCCGGGGTTCCGCGCATACGGGTATCCCGTCTCGACATCTCTCCTCGGCGGCAGAGATGTTGCGGGCGGAGGGCGAGACAGGGGCTGAGGGGTCAAGCTTCGGTTGGGAGCCGAGACTTCAGCGACCCGCTTCGGTGCGGGCGGTTCATCGTCGTTCAACAGCGACATGATGTTCACCTTGCGTTCCGGAGCGCGAGGCGGAACAGGCGCAGGCGCAGCCTGCTGCTGCTGCTGTGCTGGTGGTTGAACTGGAGGAGCGGGCGAAGGGAGAGAGGAGGAAGACGGAGCAGCTCCATAAGGTGAGTCTTGCATCGGCACTGGCGTCCGCCGTGGGATGCTCGACAAGGGCCGTTCGTTCGCGGGCGAGATCTGCGAAGGCTGCGGGGGCTCACCAAATAAGCTGCGCCCAGATTGCTGTTGCTGCTGCTGCGTGTGAATCGGCGGTGGGTACGAAGCGGTACTCCGAGACGGTTCGGGTTGTCCGGGTGGCTGCGGCTGCGCTTGTTGGGGCCGCCCGAGCGGGGCCGGTTCCGTACGTGACGACATACCGCGCTGCGCCGGCTGGTACGGCGGGTATGCATCGGGATGCGGATGATGCAGAGCGGATTCGGGTTCCTGCTTCATCCGCAGCGGCGGGGCACGGTCCGCCGGCCGAGGCGAATCTCGTGGACCAAGATCCAGCCTCGACCGGTCTCGCACATCCCGAGGTCCACCGCGTGCCTTGTCGGCTTGCTGCGAAAGCAGGGAGAACTGCCCGCCTAAATCGTTCTGCCACTGCGCAGTGCGCGATGGTGCAGGTTCGGGCACGGATGGAATTGGCGCGGTGGTTTTTGGAACAGCGGTAGAAACAGGCTTCTGCGAGATACGGACGGGCTGCTGTTGCTGTGACAGTGGTTGAGGCTCCATCTCTCTGATCTCCCTCTCCGGGTACGAATAACTCGGCGCGGGTGGTCGCAGAGGATGAGTATGTGGAGACATGGCCTGCGAGACAGCTGGGCTGGCAGACGGAGCCTGCTGAGATGCCGTGGCAGTTGTTGATGTTGGTGGTTGACCTAGTGTATGAGATACCGGTGCGGCCTGTGCGATCGGGACCTGGAAGCGCAAGAACGGCTGGCTCGGCTGCGGCTGTGGTTCGACCTTGGTGAGCATCCCCTCGTCGGGCTCGGCCGCAGCCAAAGGCCGGTGTCCAGTCGCCGACGAGACGTCGTATCGCTTTCGGGGCCCTTGTGTTGGTGTGGGTGGCAGAGGCCGTTTTTCGCCCCGAGAGCCTTTGCCGTCGGCTTCCATGGCGATTTGTTCCCACTCGGGTTTCGTGCCCTCCTTGGTCTGCCGGACGTAGAAGTTCTTGACCTGTTCCGAGTTAGTAAATTATCCATCTAACCCCTTCAACATGTACGATATGCACATATCCACATAACCGGAAATGTTTAGCAAGTATAAGCATAGAGAGACATAAAACGTACCATCGTCGCCGTCTTGGTCTGCATATGATTCGCAATCTTGGACCAGTCCGTGCCAAACGCCCGCAGCAGCCCCGGGAAATCCGTAGTTTCCGACACGCTCCAGTAGCTCGACGCCTGCTGCGGCGTGCGGATCCGGTCCGGCCCAGCGGGCTGCGAGATCTCAAAGGTGGGAACCGAAGCGGGCGGTGGAGGCGGGGGTGGTTCGGGCCGAAGTGATGGCGGTGCCATGACCTCGGAAATCGTGGAAGAAATCGGTGGGGGTCCTCCTCGCTCGGGGCTTGCGAGTTGACCTTGTTGTTGGACCGGAACGAGTGGTGGTTGCATCCCCCCTGCTCCTGGTCCTGCTCCTGCTCCTGTCTCTGGTCCTCCTATTCCTGTGCTTGCGCCAACACCCGATGCTCCTGCTGCTGCTCCGTGGGGTACATCGAACGGTAACGGTGTCCGGCTAGCAGCGGCCATATCGACGGTGGTCGACGGTGACAACCACTCCGGGCCTTGCGCCTTTGAATTGGCCCGCGCCCGTCCCGGCTTCCCGCTAGGAACAGCCAGGGGCACACCACCTCCAGGCCCGGGAGCCTGCGCCAGCTGCTTCGGCCCCTTGGCTTCCTTATCCGCTCTCGGTTGACGTGCTTTGCGCCCGCCTCTCTTAGCGGCTTCGGGCCTGTCCACGCCGCCTGGCCCGTCTTTCGCATCGGCCGTCGTGCCCGCTCTTCTCCGGCCGGGTGTCGGCGCAGGTGTTGCTCCATCCGAGTCCGCATTGGGTGTTGCGTTGTCATTGTTACCCCACACAGGTGCCGCAGCACGGCGCGGTGGACGTCTCCTTTCCCCATTCTCCCCCGTCTCCTGGCCAGCCCCGGCCCCCGAAGTATCCTCTGTTTCATTTTCTGTGTTACCCAACTCCGACACCAGCGCGCTTGATCGTTGTTTCCCGCGGCCCTTCTTACGGCGCCGCGGCTGCTTCTTAAGCTTGTCCTTGAGATTGAGATCGCGTTTCTTGGCGTAGTAGTAGAGGATGCATGTGCCCGGGTCTCGTTTCCCGACTTCGCGCGAGATCCGCCCCCACTGCTTCGGTGTCTCGAGGTATGCCTTTTCGAACTTGTCTGCCTCGTCCTGCGTGAAGTTGACGTGCTGTGGCACCACCTGCCACGTCGCGACCAGCTTTTCCAGCGGCAACAGCCCGGCCGTGTCGTAGAAGTTGACTTGATCCTTCTCTTCCTCAGTCCAGAACATTTCCGGGATAGACGCTTCTTTCTCGGTCCGATACTTCTCCTTTAGTGCACGCGCCTCCCGCTCCCTCATCTCCTCGTGTTCTCGAATCGACTCCTTGATCGCGTAATCGAGATCGAACTCAGTTGCGAAGCGGCCTGCCCCTCTTCTGCCCCCTTCGGGTTTCGAGTCTGCAGCGGCCGCCTTACCGGTCGTCCCAGGCTGAACCCCGGAGCTAGCAAAGAAGTCCCGGCTCCTGATTGCGGCCTGGTCATCCGAGTGCGTGAATCGGAGGTATGCGTCATACTTCTTGCGATATTCTTGGCGTAGTTCGTCCTGTGCGAGATGTGCCGATACCGTCTGGTCCTGGAAATGATGGAACAGGAAGTCGCCGAAATTGGCAGCCTGTTCCCCCATCTTGCGCACCCGCCGGCTGCGGAACCATGGCTTGACATTGTACATGGGAAGATCTTCTGCCGGCGGTGTGGCAGAGAATTCCCGGACCACTTCGACACTGCCGTAGATGCTCGCGTCGTCCTCCGTTCTGTTTTCGCTGCCTTCACGCGACACGTTGTTCTTGTCCAATCCAGGCCGACCAACGGGCGGCTGGAGAAGGATGCCCAGACCCTCTCGAGCGGTTGGTACATGTGTTGGAACAGGAGCTTGAATCGCCGCAGGTTCCGCGTCCGCAGCATCGCGCATATCTACATCGTGATCTAGCGGCTTAGATTTTCCGATTTCTGGCACAGGGGGCAATCCTGACCCTTCCGTGTCCACTTCCTCCACTTTGGGCTGGGGTTCAGGTCGTTCAACAGCTGGCTGCTCATCGGCTTTTTCCACGGTCGGAATGGCCGAGGGTTCGCGAACTGGCTGTCCCTGCGCCTGGTCTTGCCCCTTTTCTTGTGCTACAGTTTCATCCGCCCCGGCACCGGGAACTTCCTTGATAGCCACCTCAGCACTTGGCTTAACGCGAGGGAACGTGAAGTTTTCGGGAACCGGCCCAACCAGCTTCGTCAGACTCGCCTCGTCGTTGTTCAAAACACTCAACAGCGCTGTGTGTACGAGACCCGCGTATCGCCTGACGATGGGCATGGGAACTTTCTCAGCTGCGTCCCGGGCTCTTTTGAGTTCAGATTCCGTCTTGGAAATTTCGCGCTCGAAGTAGACATCCATATCCTCGTCGTCGTCGGATTCCGAGGATTCGTCAGACGCTGGCGGTGGTGCTTCTCTCGGTGGCAATTGTACTCGGGAAAACGGCACAGCAAGCACGGTAAACTTCTTTTGTATGGCGGGTTGTGGCTCGGTGGGTTGCTCAGGCACGGAATCGCCAGGCTTTGATGAAGCGGCCGGGCTCACTGCTTGTTCGTTGAGACGGGCCTTTTCTTGTTGTTCACGGGGCCGGTCAAGATCCATTCCTCCCATCTTAATATCGGCACTATTCGGCGCCGTCTTTGTTTCGCGATCGACAGACGCCCTGGCAGACTGCGAGCCCCGCTCCGACTTGATCATAATCTCGTTCGGGCCTGTGGCCACATGTAGCCCGAATCGTTCGCGTTCTGCACCCAGGGCATGGGAGTCCGATCGTGCGCCAGGGCTACGGGGCCGTTTGTCAAAGTCACGGTGGAATTCGGAGTGGGAGGACGAGCTGCCGGAAGGTCGGGCGGATTGCAGGGGAAAGTTTTGTGACCGAGCAGTTTTCGGTGATTCGACCTGTGATTTCTTGACGTTAAGTGAGGGGTTAATCCATTGCTTGCTCGATCTTTGTTGTTTTTGTTGGGCCCGGGGCCCGAGGGGGATAGGAGGGCCTCCGTCTGACAGAGCAGGTTTGGACGGTCCCGTTGGTGGGGGCCGTTCATTCCCAACTGCGTGACCAGCAGAGACAGGCCGTTCCTCTGTCAATGCCCGGGGACCAGTAGGCGGCGGTTTCCCAGTTAGTGATTGTATTTCCGTCGTCGCCGTGTTCTGGCGACTCGGAACGGAGCCAAATGCGGGTGCCGAAGGAGCAATAGGCGGGGGCGAGACGTCCTTGGCAGACGGTGGTTCGTGTGAGACACGATCCGCTTTGGGGCGAATGAGTTCGCGGTCTCTGTTTTCCCTTTCCCGAACCTCCCTATCATCCCGGGGGTCTCTACCAGGCTCCGCGTATCTGCTATCCCTACGATCCCGATCATCGGCTTCCCGTCCCCAGCGGCTTTCCTGCGACCGACTGCGCGGGTACCGATCACGATCATCGTAGAAATTGCCCCTGTCTCTACCGGTTCTCTGATCCCAGTCTCCACGGCCACGACCTCCGCCTCGACTACCTCCGCGAAACCCGCCACGGAAGGGTGATTGAGAAAACATAGGATCAGAGTTGGAGGACCCGGCTGAGAGGGGTCCATCTCTGGAGCCCCGCCGACCACGGTCAGCATCAACACCAAGAGGCGGGTCCCTTGTATCTCGAAAATCACGACTCGGCAGAGGGGATCGCGCTCGCAGTGGGGGCGGGGATGGCCTTCGAGCCCGAGGGAAATCGGGCCGGTCGCGTTGGTCGCGTGGCGGCCATTCTCGGTCGCGATCCCGATCCCGGTCATGTACTCTTTCGCGTTCCCGGCTTCGCTCGTCTCTAAAGTGTGGTCGGTCTCGATAATCCTCCCGGTCGCGTCCTCCATCCCTGCTGTCATCGCGCCATTGGCGCCCGCGTCCTCCTCCTCGACCCCTCCCTCGAAAGTCGCCAGCAAAGCCACCACCACGGGGGCCACTGGGCGGGTCGATCAAGGCCTTAGGACCGCGAGGTGGCTGGATGCCTGATAGCGAATCGCGAAACCCGTCCCGACTAGGTGGAAACCCAGACGGATTACCTCGTGAGTCCGGGGGCGGCCGGCGGCGGTCCGCGTCAGGGTACTGTGGGCCGCGATCAGTCCGATCCCCGTATGGAGACCTGTCGCGTGGCGAGCGAGATCGACGATCGCCGTCGAAACGGCCAGTGTATCTCGACCTGTAGTCATAACCTTTTAGTTGGACGAAACGCCTGATCATTCATGGAATAAAAAACTTGGGGATCCGCGTAGAAAAGGCCAAACCCATTGAGTTCCTTCGCCAAAAAACAGGCCAGAATCGGAGGACTTACATTCCAAATGAATCTTCGGGCAGAGCCCTTAAGCTCTCGGATGCCGTCGATATTGTGTCAATCTCGTCACATCTCCGATCAGAACGCGGCGAGACGACCGGGCGACAGATCCAGGGACCAGGCCGCACAATAATGCAGGACCAGGCCGCGCAATACGGGTCCTCACGTGTGCGCGTCCGGCCGTTCCGCGGAGGTGATACGCGCGGGTGGTTGATGGCTGTTGATGATGTTGTTTTGCAGTCGCTCGGTGCTTCAGGTTCTGCACTCTGCGCCTGTGCAGCAGTGGGAATGTCGAATCGCAACTGCACAGCCTCGCGGCCGGACAATGTCGCTAAAAAGACCCTGGATATCGGATCTTGGTACCCCGGAGATGCAATCCCGGTTAGACGATACCAACAACCAATTTACGTCCCCTTTTAGATGCGGCGAGGGGGATTTACTTGATGTCGATGGCGAGGTGATGTTTAGAGGAAGGGGCCATCTCTAACTTGGCTAAAGATTGGATGACCAGACTGGGTGGGTCTCGAATTCCGCGAATCCCCCCCCGGCACAACTCTCGGCCCACTTGTCACACGCCGGCGTTCTCAGCCCAGCCTGTCGGTGTGGTGGGCGTCCATTTCCGCTCTTACTGACGCGGACTGGAGGACTGGATTCCAGGGTTCTCAACATGGGCTAGCGGGACCCCCAAGACCCCTTGGAACGTGCCGAAATTCAAGAAGGCATCGGAAACGACCCTGCCGCGGACCACTGGTGGCCTTCCATTCAACCTGCAGTGTCCTGTCTGCCACACAGATCCGGGAGTGTGGAGCCCCCTGGTTTGTTGCGGTGCCGCACGCTAGTCCCGATTCGCCTAAACCTCCACACCCGTTCAGGCCCACCATCAGCGGGTGGTGCAAACGCCCGATTGGCTAGGCATTCGCTGAAAATGGCAGAGATTTAAATGTTAGTGCTCAAGGGCTTCGATCTTCGACAGGCATTGGCCACTGCAATTGGGCTGTTCTTGTTTTTGATTCAATCCGAGTCCCCTTCGGCCTTCAATTCGAGCGATTGACTCGGTGTTTCAGAAGTGCAGTGTTCTGGCGCACTGTCTTACTTTACTTGTCTTGCAGATGCTAGTTATATCACCATTCCGAAAAAGTCGAGTAAGGAAACGGATGTTCAAAACCTTTCCGCTGGGGGTTTCAAGATCGACTTTGATTCAGAGCTTAGGCTAGTGCGGGGTGGCGTCGTCTTGCAACAACACCACCAAAGTTTGCCCAGGTGTTTCGCAAGTTGACTCAACACCCAACCCTAACCACCAAGAGGAAGCATCACGGTTTTTAATAAAGTTACACTTCGCGGCTCTTGTTTGACTAAACCTTCCGAGTTCCGGGCGATTCTACTTCTTTCTCTCCTTTTCTCAATTTTTTTGCCTGCATACTTGCGATTCGTTGTTATTTTAATCCTTTTTTGATATTTACTTCTTTTTCAGTTACCCTTCCAAATTCTCAGAATCTGCGTCCCAACTCTCAACTCAATATGGCCTCACAAGATCCCCAACTCCCCCCAACAGGGGCTACGGAGGCAGTGCTGGTGAAATCGGTTGAAATGCCGGCCAATGCACAGAAAGTAGAGGAGTTGGACTTCAACAAATTTCGTGGTCGCCCAATTACGGTGGATGATTTGTTCCAGGGGATGAAGCATATGGGATTTCAAGCATCCTCTATGTGCGAGGCTGTCCGGATCATCAATGAGATGGTACGTGGTTCCACTTACACCGGATCGATGAAAGACTACACGGATGCATATCTTCTGCACGTATGCAGGCTTAATGCACCCAACATACTACAAGCTAATCTATTAACCCGTCCCTCATAGCGCGCATGGAAAGACCCCGAATCGGGGGATGGCACGACCATCTTCCTCGGGTACACTTCCAACATGATCTCGTCCGGTCTCCGGGGTGTCTTCCGCTACCTGGTCCAGCACAAGCACGTATCCGCCATCGTCACCACTGCGGGCGGCATCGAAGAAGACTTCATCAAATGCCTCGGCGACACCTACCTCTCCTCGTTCTCCGCCCGCGGCTCTGAGCTCCGCGCCCAAGGGCTCAACCGCATCGGCAACCTGGTCGTGCCCAACTCCAACTACTGCGCCTTCGAGGACTGGGTCGTGCCCATCCTCGACCAAATGTTGGTCGAGCAGGAAGCGAGTAAAGGCACCGACGACGAGATCCACTGGACGCCGTCCAAGGTGATCCACCGGCTGGGCAAGGAGATCAACGACGAGCGGTCGGTGTACTACTGGGCGTACAAGAACAACATCCCGGTGTTTTGCCCAGCGCTGACGGACGGGAGCCTCGGGGACATGCTGTACTTCCACACGTTCAAGTCGTCACCGCAGCAGCTGCGGGTAGATATTGTGGAGGATATCCGCAAGATCAACACCATTGCGGTGCGGGCGAAGCGCGCCGGGATGATCATCTTGGGGGGTGGAGTGGTCAAGCACCATATTGCGAATGCGTGCCTGATGAGGAACGGGGCTGAGTCGGCGGTGTACATCAACACGGCGCAGGAGTTTGACGGGAGTGATGCGGGCGCCCGGCCGGACGAGGCCGTGTCGTGGGGGAAGATCAAAGTTGGAGCGGATGCGGTCAAGGTAAGTGCCAGCTTCTGCGCGCCCTGGGGATGATAGACTGCTGACCCTCGATTGTTTAGGTGTATGTCGAGGCAACGACATGCTTCCCATTCATTGTGGCTAACACGTTCGCCAAAGACGACCAATATCAATAGACCAACAGGTTTCTTATTGGCGCAAAACATATGTGGCATGTGCTTGAAGATGTCGCTATTTACACACAAGAACATCGTCGCTTACTCCGCTTCCTTCGTCCGCTTCCTCGCGCCTAGGACGGCCTTGCCCACAGTGCTCGCATTCTCCTTCCCAATCTCCTTCGTAATCCACGCCCCAACATCCACCACGGCGTCCAAATCCACCCCGGTATCCATCCCCAGCGTCTCCATAAAATACACCATATCCTCCGTCGCCACATTCCCCGTCGCCCCCGGCGAGTATGGGCAACCACCCAACCCACCCACGCTGCAATCAAACGTGCGAATGCCATGCTCCAGCGCAACGGCCGTATTCACCAGCGCCTGGCCGTACGTATCATGAAAGTGCATCGCAACATCCTCCGTCCGCACACCCGCCTGCCCCAAACACGTCAGCAGCTCCTTGGTGCGCGGCGCGGTGCCCATGCCCGTGGTATCCCCCAGCGCGATCTCGTCGGCGCCCATCTCTAGCAAGTCAGTCGCGATGCGCGCGATCCGGTGCGGGTCCACGTCGTACCCTTCGAAGGGGCAGCCGAGTACAACAGAGATGTAGGCGCGCACGCGCAGGGCGTGGGTTTCCTTGGCGGCTTGGATCACTTCACGGAAGCGCTGGAGGGAGGTCTCGATGGAGCAGTTGAGGTTTTTCTGGGAGAAGGACTCGGTCCCGGCCGCGAAGACGGCGATTTCGACCGCGGGTTTGGAGGTTGTTGGTTGTGGGCTACCGTCGTCACCCCCGCCGCTCGCAACAAAGGAGGTGGGGTTCTTGGCGAGGACGTTGAAGGCGTTGTTGAGGCCCTTGATGTTGGGCGCGAGGAAGGAAAAGGTAAGCGGGTTCGGGGCGGTGGGGGGTTTCTGGAGAAGGTGTTCGAGGATTTCGGAGGAATGGTCCATCTGTTTGGACCAGTGTCGTTAGCAACTTGCCTCTGTCCATTCTTTCCCATTTCTTCTTTCATTATCCGTATTGCATCTTGATTGCCTTTTCTCTTCGTCTTCCTCAGTTACCTACCTGAGGCACCCATTTAGGCGAGACAAATGACCCCGCCTCAATCGTAGTCAAGCCCGCCTTCGCCAACTTCTCAATCAACTCCAACTTCGTGGCCAGTGAGATCGGATTCGGCTCGTTCTGCAGCCCATCGCGGGGTCCAACCTCGACAAGCTTCACAGGTGGGGCTTTGGACGACGAGGTTCGCGGCGGTTGATCTGAAGCTGTCGCAAAGCACCGCGCGGCAGTGGCGCGTCGTGCGCACGGCCGGCTGGCGGCTAGTAATTGACGTGAAAGCAGCGCGTACCTCGCCATGATGTAGGTTGGTTGTCCATTAAGGTGGTGAGTTGGAGGTTGAGCTCTTTGGTTGCCGAGGTGAGAGCGGCATTGGCTTGGTGACGTCGCATAGCGTCGGCGTATTGTCTGGGGCCGCGTGACGGGCCGTCAGTACCCCTACCGGGCCGGCAGACGGCTGAGCTTGCTCAGCACAAGCTCAGGTCACTAAGCGTCCACGTACCTCATGCCCGAGCACATCAAGGTAAGTCACGTTAAACTCTACATCAATCTGATTCTTTCCTCCTTTGCTGAAAATGAGAACCGACATTGAAAGGCCGCGTCCCGGCTGCACGACTGATTTTTGCAAACCCAACACCAACCACCAAATCTAGGAAAATATGGGAAAAGAAGGAAACATTAAAGAATGGAAGACATCTTAGCTAAAGGACAAGCATCACACCCGTCATTAACTCGGACCGCATCGATAAGCTAAAGCCACACCACCTCAAGGTCCCCGAATAGCCGGCGCGACCGCCCTCCCACCAGCGCTCTCCTCCTCCCCAAATGCCGTCTTATGCTCGAACTCCAAAAACCCTTGTAGTACCACAACCTCATCTCGATGTGCCATCGCAACCGTACCTTTGGACACCACACGCGCAATTAGGTCGGCGCTGCCGCCCGTTTGCCATACCGACGGCACGAAGAAATGCCGGACGTATGATGTGCTAGTCTTGAGCGTTTTGAGGCCGATGGAGCACACCCACCCGCGCCCGCTGACGAAGAAGAGATTTGAGCGGTGTATGCCCAGGAGCGATTTGATGGGTGACGCGAGCTGGCGGGTGGTACAGGTGATTTGGAGGTGGGTGGGATAGGGTTCACTGAGCACGGCTAGGTCGAGGGTGAGGAAGGCGGTGGTTTGGGAAGCGTAGGAGGAGGAAGAAGATGATGACTGCAGAAGAGTGAGGGTTTGGACGAGAGTAGTGAGGCCGGAGCGCGAGTGCCATTCCTCTGTGAGGTCAATCTCAGGGGATACTTGTGTCATCTCGGGTGGGAGGTGAATTGGGATCCCTGACTCAGGTGTTTGGCGCTCAAGGCCCTCCCACCTGAAGACATGCAGGGTCTTGCTACCGCTTTCGAACAGGAGAAGCTGTTGCGGGTCCGTGGGATGAGCTAGCCATCGAGCTTTATTCTGTGAGTAGGCGGTCTGGGTGATGCTGCGTTCCTCATTAAAAACGTGCTGTTCCTCCCCAGACTGGGTCGAGACGAGGAATCTGCATCCGTCGGGACTGACAAGGGCTTGTAGTACGGTATCGGACGCACGGAAATCGAGGATGTGTTCAAACTGCTGTAGTTTGAGCTGCTGCTGCTGCTTCTGCACGGCCGTAGTTATCGACGTTGTCGCGGCCGGTAGAGTCAGCCTCGTGGCGATACACCGGCGTGACGCATCCACACTGAAGAGCACCTTGGTCTTCGCATTCCACTCCAAGTGGCGGATTTCAACCATTCGGGCATGGAACTGGAACTCGGCGCACACCTTACCCGAGCTGACGTCGTGCACCGTTATCGAGCCCTCCTCGTGGCCGCAAAAGACAAAATTGCTGTCACCCGCCTGCGTCATGACCGTGATGGCCTTGTTATCCTCGAAGCTCCGCGTACACACGAGGTTCGATGCCGGCATCAGGTAGTCGTCCGCTTCCTCGCTCGAGGTGTCGTCTGCCAGGTTCTTCTTGATGAGCACCGCCGGCTCCCACACGTTGCATGTGTTCCCTCGAAGATCGAAGAACCGCAGGTTGTTCGAGGCGAACACGATGCCCATAATACGCTCCTCCAGAGACTGGATCCGACATATCAAGCGCAAGCCGTCGAACGCAAACAGCGAGATGACACACTCACTGTCACCCGCCGCCAAGGTGTGACCGTCAGGCGACGCTGCCAGCGTGTGCGCGTTGAGATGATAGGCGTTCTGCTGTTGTAGCGTCCATGGGTCTAGGGTAACGAGGTCCCCGTCCTGGTACGCCACCGCCATCAGGTTCTGCTCCGCGTTTTCATTGAACGCCACGTCCAACACCTGCGGCGGAAGACCCCCGTCCTCATACCCTTCCTTCTCGAACGCTTCCACCCGCTCGTCGCTATCATAGTACGATATCTTCAGATGTGAGCTCTTGTATGCGATGGCCGCGATGCCCAGCATAGGACTGATCCGAATCAGCATGGGCGTGATTCGCTTCTGCTGCTGTTCCCCGCCGCCCCCGTCCGACTCCGAGTCCGAGGCTTCCTCTTCCAGGATCGGCAACGCATCCAGCCTGGCCCCAGTCTTGGTCCGGAACACATACACCTCCCCACTTCGCAACGGCACATACACCTTCGTATCGTCCTGACTAAACCGGAACGACAGTGGCTGATCAGGCACCGTCGTTGACCACAGCAGGACATCATGCCGCGGCCCACCCCACATCTTGAGCGACCTGAGCCCGCCTGACAGGAGGACCCCTGTGAAGTTTCCGTTTGCCAGACGACGGACCGGCTCTCCGTGGCGTGGGGCCGAGAGCAGCTCGAATGTGCTCTGCCGATAGACTCGAATCTCTCCGTCACCCAAGCCCACCGCAAAGAAGGACTCCGCACATGCGATCGACAGTGCGCGCGAGGAGAACGCAAGTGACGAGAGTCGCTCGTCCCAGTCGTTGTTGAACGAGCTTAGCACGCGCTGTTTCAGTTTCTGCCCACCGGCCGCACTGCCGCCGCCTCGTCCGTTCCCTTTGCTTGATGGACCTCCCGGTCCGCTTCCGCCCGTGGCGAATTTCCAGTGGATGATACTCGACCTCGGACACAGGAGCGGCACAAGCGTATGGATACATGACGGGGTGGTTAACAAGTTCGGGCCATAGATCGCCGAGAGACGCACGAGATCATCCACAAAACGCGTCGTGAGCTGGTAATTGGCGTCGAGCGGGGAAGAGGTGGCAACCTGGCGAGTCAAATAGCCCTTCAGGTTCTGGATGGTGCGGGTGAGTAGCGACAAGCGGCCGGTTCGTGCAGCGCGCTCGATCCACGTCAGCACATTCGTGCCGAAGAAGGTGCCTAGTAGGGGCAACAGGTGGAGGGTATTTTCGGACGGGGAGCAGTGCGCGAGGTGGTAGGAGAAGTTGCTCGCTGCGTAGTCGTCAAAGGCACCCGGCTTGACGGCACCGTTGGCGCTACTACTGCTGCTACTGCCATTCTCCCTCGGGTCGACCTTGACCGCGGCCGCAACCACGCGACGTGTCCGTGGTGGGCTAAAGCTGCGGCTGTTAAGATGCTGTAGGCATAGTTCGGCGATACGGGCGTGTGACCACGAACGCGGGATGTAGTAATCGCTCTGCTCCCCCGTGAGGAACTCCTTGACGGTCTGGTGCATGACCTGCACGTAATTCTCGTCGACCGTGATCAGGTTCCCGCACACTTGTGCGAAGCGGTCAGCCGTTCGCAACGTTTGGTTGATATCCAGGCGTACCACCTCGCGCAGCTCTTCCGTCGTGAGAGGCTTGCGCGCGCAGACGACCCACTTCAGCACGCAGTGTGCGAGCTCGGCGTTGGGCGACTCGGCAATGGTCTCTAGGATTCCGCTGTACATGCCGCTCATCTCGGTAGGGACCTGGTCGAGCGTTGTGCGCATGGCCTCGATACTGTGCGCCTCATCGAGGCGGGTCATGATGAGAGACGCCCAGAGGAAGATCCCATTGGACTTTTCGATGATCTCTGCGACCAAATCGCCGTCCTCAGCGTTGAAGTCCTCAATGATGCTCGGCGACAGCCGAGAGCGGACAAATGCATCGATATCCCGTAACGATTCCGCCTGGCCCGTGTGCATCTCGGTCCGCATGATTCTCTCTTGGTTCAGCAGCCGCTCCACATGCCCGTTTGGCCGACTAGTGATGAAGATCCGCAGCGGCACGTTCGGTTCGATCCTCGAGAACATGGACATGAGCGTGCCCAACAAACGGGCTTGGCACTCGTCTAACGCATCGATAACCCAGAACTGCGGTTGGGACATCGCCATTTTGAAGATGCGCCCGAGGAAGATGTTGTTCCATACCATCACATGGTCACTGTGGCTGTCAATACCCTCGCCCTCCTCCATCATGGCCAGGAACGTGTGGCGGATCTGGAAATTCGTCTCGGCCATCTGCAGCGCCATTGACAGCAAGAACTGCGTCAGGCTCGGCTTCTCGTTGCTCTTGAAGAAGAAATACGCGCAGTCGAGGTTGAGGGACTCGAGGTATCGGATGACGTGCCCGGACGCGACAGACTTGCCGGAGCCGGGGGGGCCATTGAGCCATAGGAACCGAGGCGTGTCCTTGGCGGGGCCCGAGGTGATGGTCTTGATGCCTGTGTCGGGTGCGGCGTACATGGGGTCGCACTCAAGCCAGTCCTGGAAGGCTTCATCGCCTGTGAGCCATTCGCAGGAGCCTGTGTGCAGCTTGTCTAGCATGCGGATGAAGTCGCCGTCCGGACGCTCGGCTACGTCGAAGGCGTGAGCGAGCTGCTTCATTTGGATGCGGTGGCTCTCGGACTTTTCCGCAGTGTCTGGGGGATGTTAGTCGTGCTGTTCTGCAGGTGAGCTCAGGTTTGGGTGGTCTTATGACTTACAATGCTTCTCGATCTCTTCGATGGTTGTGTTGAAGCTGCGTAATAGAATGTTATAATTGGGATCTTCAGGTGAGTCAAATTTGACGAGGCGGCGGTGGTTGGCCTGCAGATATTGCGTGTGTTCGCGAGGAAGGCCTGGCTAGAGGTTAGTCTCGGAGCTCTTAGAACAGCAAAAAAGGTAAAACCGTACGTACCCATAACCGCTGACTCCTTTTCGACGATGATCGTGTTAGAAGGGCCCGTGGAAGTGGGAAGGCCCTCGAAAAACGACCATATCCCGACGTCGCTGCAAACGTGCCGGAACTCATCGTTGATGTTTTGGAGCGTCCCAGACCCGGGGATCATCTCCTTAACAAAGGCCTTGGAGCCGGGTCCGATAGACATAGAGAGGAGGGTGGTGATCAGCGCGCTGGAGTCGGCGCCCCGATGAGGTGTGCCGAGAAAGTACAAGCTGTGGATCCTGTTGGCGATATCCGCGTAGATGGGGTCTCGTCTTGCCATCAAGTAGGCCTAGGATAGTTAGTCTCGGCTTGCTTTAGCTGTTTGTGAGTTTGAAGTGGGGGGTGGTGATACCTTCTTCACAACCAAACCTCCCATGCTGTGAGCAACGAGGACAATAGGGGTCTGGCTAGGTCAGCTTAATTGTGCATGAAGCACGGAGAGAATTCCTATCACTTACGTTTCCATTCTTCCTCATATGCGGCGAATTGTACAGATCTGCCAGTAACGCCTGACCGAAATCATGCATCGTCAGGCTGCTTTGCTGTGACTTGGTCCAGTCCGAGTCGTATCCAAAGCTGTGGATGCGAACGTGTCGAAACCCGGGCTCGGAAGGTAGCCATTCTTTGGGCCAGTACGACGCTGGGTCTGACGACGCGCTCCATGTTCGCCGTGAGCCGCCGCCGAGGCCGTGGACCTGGATGTTGGTTAGTTTCCGCTAAGAGTTACCGGAGATGGGAAGTTGGGGGAACAAAGGCCTACAAAAACAAAATCTACCCGTGGCTCCGACGGCTCATGAAGGAGGTTGAGTCCTAGTGGTCCTCTTGTCGATTCGTTGGAATGGGATGGCTTGGATAAAGTGGTGGTTCGTCGGAGGCTCTGGAGTCTTCCCCGAAGGCTGGTAGGCGATGGCTGGCGGCCGGTGGTGCTGCTGACTGCCAGTTGGTCTCCCGGCATCCAGGTCGATGAGGATTGGAGGGTTTGGGACTGTGGTTATGTTAGATCAGGGCTCTTCTTGAGATCTTGAGAATGGAGTCAACATACTCGAATCGACATGCTGTGCCCTCTAGTTCTAGCGATTCACAGCTATGTAATCCGGTATTAAGAAAACGCAGACATGGGACAGACTACTACGCCGTCTGCCTGTACTCGTGGCGATGACAGAGTCGTGGTGGATGTCAATTGAGATCAAAGTTTAGCCAAGAGAGACGGGTGGAACGGAATTTGAAAATGAACGAGGAGATTTACGCAGGGGATCCAGGGAAGAAAAGTGAAGAGCGTAGGTCAGAAATCTCAGCTCGCTATGGTCATCAACGGCCCTTGAGACGGGAGGGCGGGAAGCATGGCCCGGGCATACGCTCCTTGTGTGCATCGTGTTTGGCCAAGCCATGGCAAGATACAACGTTTGAGGCCGTTTCGTTCTGGGGAATCTGAAGTCATTTTGGCCGTGGCCCAGGACCGTGTCGTCTCTTGCTTCTTGTTGATTATGAACTGGGGGCCTCGGTTCCCGACGATTGTTTATGCATCCTGGCTTACGATAAGGTTTTGGTGAGCTTGCGTGCATCACGATGGTGTCTTGAAACTGCCCGCCGGGCCTCGGCCGGGGCCTGGAGGGCGGCTGGTACGAGAGGGGGTTGGTTGCTTCTGGCCTGTGCCGCTGCAATTCTGGCCCCCATGCAGCTCACATTCACAAAATCCAACAGTGCGAGGAGTTTGGATGAGACGGTTTGAAGATTCCCGAGATTCCCTGTTGATAATCGTTAATGTTCAGTTCAAATCCCAGTTTCATAAGGAAACAAAATCCTAAAAACAGAGAAACCTCGAGATAGAGTTTTTGCGGGGGACGGTTAATTACTCCACGAGTAAATAATGTCTAGTCTGGAAGGTGCTCGTGTGTGGTGCTTGCCGGATCGTGAATTGCCTGCGGCGATTACCCTTTTGGGAATATCCGAGCCACGTGCAATCGTGCCTCCTTCATCCACCCAATTCCCGTCTCGATTTCTGGCACCGAGCAATACTCTGCGAAAAGAAACATGTGCCAAGTTGACGAATCCAATCCCCGCCTTCCGACCCCATCTTTCACGTTCCACGGTTTGCGATTCCCGACGAACGATGGCCCGCCCTGTTTGGTTCCCTCTGCAGTGTGGCTGGTTCTCAGTACGTGACTTGAAACCAACGGCCCAGCTTAATGCAGGCGACCTATTTGCAGAGACCATAGAGCAAGGGTAAAGTGTTTAAAACGGCCCGCTTTTGTATTAGCCCCCATCTTAACTTGTCCTCCTGGCCCAACAACCCGGCCGTAGGCGGCGCAGGCGATGTCCGATGCCTAACACCGTGCTGCTGTGCCGCCTAAGTGGGCGGAATGCCCACGATTCTCCCCGCTTAAGAGTCCCTAGCGGTCACTTGGGCTGCTGCCCGTCCTGTTTTGTCATGCCCTTTTGGCTTCATTTTTCGGCCTTTGCATCTTAATCAGTACTGACCGGGTAGGACACCAATCCCGATCTCATCATGGCCACCGATGTGCGAGATGTCGACGAGAAGCTGAAGCTGGATGAGAGCCTCCTAGCGGGTGAGTTTGAAATTTCACCAATCCCCCAGGAATGTGACCGGGAATTCGAAGCTGACTTGAGGTGTCCCCGGATAAGTCCTCCCGGAGGGCGGCGAAGTGGTGTCCGTGACCCCGTCTGGGATGAGCGATTACTGCAACACTTACAGGATCGAAGTGAAGCTCCCTGACGGCAGTTCCCAGGTCTTCTTTGAGAAAGAAGGGACCGGCGAGGAGGGCAAGGGGTGCGTCGACTCCGCTTGGAATTCTGAGACCGCCGCCTACGAGTTCATCCCCGAGCACGTGCCCCGTCCGGTCGCCACGGGCACTTACAAGTCTCGGCCCGACAAGTTCTTCTTCCTCGCCGAGTTCGTCGAAATGATTGAGGATGACATTCCTCGCGAGGAGGTTTACATGGCCGCCGTGGCAAACCTGCACAGCCGCAGCATGGGCAAGTCGCCCACCGGCAAGTTTGGGTTCCCGGTCAACACTCGCTTCGGGAACCTTGAGCAGGACAACACATGGACCGATAGCTGGGAGGAGTATTGGACCCGACAGATGAGGGACTTTCTCGACAAGGAGGACGCCGCCCATGATGGGGAGGAGCACGAGGAGCTGGACAGGTTGCGTCCGTTGTTTTTCGAGAAGGTGTTGCCTCGTTACCTCGGCCCGTTGGAGAGCGAGGGCCGCTCGGTCACGCCCTGCCTCATTCATGCCGACCTCTGGCCTGGTAACGTTAAGTACATGACCGACGGTGACACGGCGTGTATGTATGATGCCTGTGCTATGTGGGGGCATAACGAGGGTACGTTGATTCTGGTTTCACGGCCAAATTATTTCTGGCCGGCTGACTGATCTTGAATAGTCGACCTTGGTGTCTTCCGCAACCCGAGATACCCGCTCGGCAAGCCGTACCTCAAGGAATACTGGAAGCGGGTTCCCATCTCCCAGCCTGAGGAGGATGTTGATAGCCGGAACTCACTTTATATGTTGCGCGGGCAGATCTTGCTGTCAATTTTATACCCCCAGGACAAGAAGCTGCGCGAGATGTAAGTTTTATTGCTTGGTGTACTGATCCCGAGGCTTTTTGAGATCACAACTAACATTCATAGTTTTGTGAGCAACATGCGGCTCCTGGTGGAACGTGTTGAAGAGGAGGAGGCTACGAAAGGGAAATCCGCGTAACCAGTTTCGCTTCATTTGTAGATTTTTGTTTCAGGCGGTTAACCTCCGTCCCTTAATCCTAGCTATGTGATAGAGTACGGAGAGTAACTTAGGAGCATACGAAGGCTCCTGAATTTGTTGTCAACGCCTCAAAGAAGTGAGGACACAGGACAGGTTGGGTTTTGTGGTTTTACAACTCGATGTTCCGAGCAAATCATCGGATCAAATAATCTGTTCACCTGACCAGGGCAGGTTCCTTCCCATAACCCAACACCGCCCTTTATAACTCCCCCGCAAGCTGCTCCTTCCAACCGCCCCCCCCCCCCCCCCCCCCCAAATCGACACCGGTCGGATGGCGTAGGTGGGGGGGCTGTGGGCGTCAAAAAGTACACCACAGAATCTTGAGCGCCCGGGTTCGATACCCGGGTGTTCCGCCGAAGTAAAACTCCCGCGCCGGTTTTCGTAACCTCCTACCACCTCTTACGCTTTATGGGGAGTAAGAGACAGCTAGGGGGTGAGCTTTTTGGTTTCTGCTTTTTCGTTTTATGGATCTAATCGTGGGAAGAGGTAACAATTATTATATCAGATGAGCAGAACAGCTACACACGATTTCCCATGTATTCTCAGGATCACGACTTGCCTGAGAGAGCCGTTACGAACCATTTTAACCGAATTTGTTTCCGCTTTTCCCGCACAATGTACCGGCCCGAAAGTGTTACACGATCGAGCCCATCGGCCCGCGAAGTGGCTCAACGGGCGCATGCAACGGGATACAACCCATCTTCAATCTTGCACCTCTGTGGCACCGAATCGGATGATTTGGCTCAAACAACGGACAGCCGATTTCGGCGTCAGCCGTGCGTTAAACTCTGGTAACTGTCATGCAGCCGTTCCTGCAGCTTTCCACAAGGGGGCATCTCTCACTCACATGCCTGATGTGATACGCCCAGCCCCCACTTCGTCACATTCACACACCGCTAGCTCCGCGCTCCGGCATCCGGTGCCGCATGTGCCGCCCCGAAAGTGCCGGGGGTTGTCACCAACCAACAAGCCACTCCCGGCACGGGGAGTTGAGGTGGGGGCCAATTGGGGAAATACGACAAGGCGAGTCGAGATCACGTATTTGGTCTGGAGGGTCGGGGTTTTGCTTCTTGCATCATGACTTCATGTCATTTTTGAGTCTCTTGGTTGGTGTTTGGGTTAGTGGCCTCTAGACGCAACACCAAGAAATACTGTGATCTTTTCGTGTGATCTTTTTGGCCGTTTCTCTGAGGCATTGACTTTTTCACTTGTTTCCACGCCCAGGATGACCGCCAAAACATCCCTCGGGACGTCAGTCCTCACTTCCCGCCCCGAGCTGAACACGGCCAGAACCGAATCCTCCTCAACCACTCCCTCGGATCTCACACCCACCACGGACGAAGAAAAACAACCGCCGGCTCCCTCCCTCACCATATCCCCCGCAACACCAGACCTTGGTAACTCCTCAACCCCCTCGCCCTCCATCGCCAAACCCACCACCATCCAACCGCCCAAAGATGAACCCCCCTTCTCAACCTTCACCCCAACCCAAAAACGCCTCATCGCCTTCGCCGCCTCCCTCGCCGCCCTCTTCTCCACCCTCTCCTCCTTCATCTACTACCCCGCCCTAACCCGCATCGCTACCGACCTCGATGTATCCCTCGGCCTGGTCCAGTTGACCATCACGTCGTACTTGGCCGTGGCAGGCGTTGCGCCGGCGTTTATGGGGGACTTGGCGGACCGCGGTGGGAGAAGGCCGGTGTATGGGGTTATGTTTGGGTTGATGGTGGGTGCGAATGTGGGGATTGCGGTTGTTAGGGGGTGGACGGGGTTGTTGGTTTTGAGGATGGTGCAGAGCGCTGGGTCGTCGGGTAGGTTCTGCTTTTTTTGCTTCTCATTTTGCTTTCGATGTTGGTGGTGAGGCAGGTTAGGAGGTGGTGTAACCGACCAGCTGACTCGATTGATAGGGATGTACGGCGCGGCATATGGAGTTATAGCGGACATCGCGACTATCGATGAGCGAGGCTCATTTGTCGGGGTATTACTGCTCATGTAGGCCACCCTACAGGCTTGGGTGTTTTTATGATTGTGCTAAACATCACCAGGACCGATTTCGCGACAAGCCTTGGCCCCGTCATTGGCGGCGGGTTGACCCAAGGCTTCGGCTGGCGTGCCATCTTTTGGTTTCTCGTCATATTCACAGGCACCCACTTCATCGTGATGATTCTCTTCTTCCCCGAGACGCAGCGGAAGATTGTCGGGAACGGCAGTGTCCAGCCCAATGGATGGGTTTACCAGACCGTGTTCTCTCTGTTGAGGAAAACGAAGCGGAGAAGAGCGGCTAAGGGGTTATCGCCCCAAGAAGGTGAGGCAGGGCAGGCGTTGGAGAAACCGCGTCTCAGGTTCCCGAATCCTCTGGCATGTCTTCCGGTTCTGGCAAATAGGGGCTCCTTGCTTGTCATTCTTATTACCGCCATCAACTATGCGGTCAAAGCGGCACTGCAGACATCGCTCGATGCGCAATGTGTAGATATTTACGGACTGAATTACATCCAGGCAGGATTAGTCTACCTTCCTTCAGGGGTCGGTGGTGGATTTGGTTCTTACGGTGCTGGTAGGTCAACTGAGATGCGGCAACAAGACGCTCTGAACTGACTGACTGGCTTAGGGAAATTCGTCGATTGGAACTACCGTCGCACTGTGGAACGGCTGTCGAAAACACAAGGGGAAAAATACGACAAAAAGTCCCCTGATTTTCCACTCGAGAAAACACGTCTTAGAGGAGTGTACGTGCTGAGTGCCACCACTGTTCTCGGTATCATTGGATATGGTTTGGCCCTCAAGTTCCGTTGGGTATGTACCCCAAGGAGAATGTCATGCCAGAGATGCGGTTGCTAATAGGAGCTTGCCTGAATAATAGCATATCGCCGTCATGCTCATCATGCAACTCCTAACCGGAACTGCTACGGCAGCAACCTTTACGGTGAGCTTTTGGCCCCGTTTTGAAAATTTTCAGAGTCACCATCCCTAACAAATCCAGCTCTGCGGAACCCTCCTCACAGACCTCAACATGAATCGCTCCGCCACAGCACAGGCAGCAAGCAACCTGGTCCGCTGTCTCAGCGCGGGCGGCGCTGTAGCCATTCTCCAACCAATGATTGAGAACGTGGGACCGGCCGGGTGCTTTGCTATTTATGCATCGATCATCTTTCTCGGCATCCCTCTGGCTTGGGTCTTACAACGGTATGGTGTTGCGTGGAGGAAGGGGCAAGAGCTGGCAGCATGATATATGGCTGTGAAAAAGGGGCAAAGGTATTATAGATGTCGTTAATTTCACCAACGCTTGTGTTGTTGGTGACTTTGGGGTTAAAAGGGGTTGGTTTTCGATGCTCCGACGCAAAGTGGCCAAGGTTGATAAGCCCCACATTTTGGGCGCAAGAACATGCACGGTTCTATAGTGTAGCGGTTATCACTCCGGATTCTGATTCCGGCAACCCCGGTTCGATTCCGGGTAGGACCTCATCTTTTTCCTTTTCTATTTTGCCCCTCCTCCCCTTGCAATGACTATTTCGGCCCTGCGTTTCAAGTTAACGTTTCGGTCGTCGGCGGGTCTCACGTTCTGCTTCAGGACTTTCGTCTTACGTAGTTTAAGCAAGATGGCAAGTGAGGAATGGAGCATATTACAAGCAACTGGCTACTAGCCCTGGTAGAACACGCAACAAAATTATCAGCTAAAAGGAACGATAAAAAACAAAGAAATCAAACCAAAATGTGCCGTCGTACCCTTCCTCTATCCCGGCTGTTCCAAGTGCAAGGTGGTGGTCCGCCAGCCACGATCGGCCCGGCATTGTCTAAGTATTCGACTCACCCACAGGATCGTTGACGTATTTCTCATGCCGCCTGTCTGTGCCCAACACTATATTTCCTTCTGTTGGGAAATCTTACTTTCTTATTGTTGTCCGTGGTGTTCGGTTACGGGGGGCGAGAGCGTACCTCGATGAGTTTTCCATGATTACCCGGTTGGACTAATTAAGAGGAAAAAGTAGAGACCATGTCCATCATCTCAACTTCCGGGGTGTATGGGTCCCCTTCCAGTTGATCGGCTAGGCGGTTTAACAACTCCGCGGCGGATGGGCGTTCTTCGGCCTGGCCGTGGGCCATATCTTGGATATTGGTGAGTCCCGGACTACAAGCAACCTCCCAGACTGCCTGTTTAACCATATCGTACTTTTTCGTTACCATTCGTGCTTGATTGAAACAGCTCAGTTAACCGTCGTCGTGTTTGTCGAAACTCGCGCACATTTAGTACCTCAGCGATGGTGACGAAGAGAGACCAGATGTCGGCCTTGGGTGTTTGTTTCATGCGGTAGTAGATTTCCAGGGCTGCGTAGACTGGGGTGCCGCAGTAGTCATCTCGGTCGGCTTGGTACATGCTTGATCCAAAGTCGGCGAGTTGGAAGTGAGGCGCCCCATTCCGCATGGTGTAGAGGATGTTGTCCGGCTTGACGTCACGGTGGATGATATCATTGGCCGCGAGATATTGGAGAGCGAGGAGGGTGTGTTTGATAAACAGCTGACAAACCCGCGAATCGAGCTGGGGATTGGGAAAAGAGAGGGACGCAAGACTGCCCTCTTGCAAAGCCATGAAAATGGAGCATCCAACATCTGCCTCAAAATACTCAAGAAATTCCACGATGTGAGGCTGGACAAAGGTTAGCGGTAATAACTCCGGGAGTCATATCACTTGTGGGGTCTAAGCGTTCTCGAGAGGGACTTCAGACATCAAAGCACTTACATGTGTGGACCGGGCAAGGATTTCGATCTCCCCCTTCAGCCTGAGCCGCCACCCCGGATATTCCATCTCACCAGTTGGCCCTCTCAGAAACTTTTCCGCCATCAAGTCACCGGTGTAGATATCCCGTGATTTATAGACTTCACCGGATCTTCCCAACGCGAACAGTTCCCCCCCCTGCCACTTCGGCTTCGTCTTCGGGAACCCTCCAGTGTGTATGCGAGTCTGCACTCGGAAGGAGGAAATGGCGCCCGGTTCGCACAACACGGTTGGGGCAAGGCGGGGGTTGAGATTAAGAGTTGCGCGTTGTCGCTCGTCGAGTTTGGCTTTAAATTCTGCTCCAGTGTGATGCCAAACGAGGATGAACGTGAATAGATTGCTGTTGACACCGCCCATGCCGATCTAGGTGTTTAGACTTGGTCCGACGACGACACGGCGTGGGTGGTCTGCCTCAAATGGGGTTGAATTCTCGCCAAAAACCTGGCTGGTCCTTGCTATCGATGTGTCCTGAAACATGATGGCTCCGGTCCTCTGATTGAGAACAAATTGGCATTGCGCTTTCGAAATCATATCCCCCGACACAGTGACGTCCCCGTCACGACCTAGGGTTGCCAGTACGTCAGGATCTCTCGATATTGACTGGGTGTGTCCGATACCGAGACCCTTCTTTCCATCCATGCTCGATGTAACAAGGGGCTTGTTACTGGGGTCGTTAACGACTTGATAGGCTAGTTCCGAGTCGGGTACCAAGAAGAACAGAACAAGGTTGTGTGGCCTGTGGCCAGCAGCGGAATGCTCCATTTTTGGCGCGGTGTGTGTGGAGCAAGGTGTATTTTTGGTTGAAGAAAGGGGTATTTGGGATGGTTTCACGTTTGAGATATTAGGCCACGGAAGCCTTTCAGTTTATCTACCTTCATTTGCTGTCCTTTGGGGCCTCCGACACCACAGGTTTGAGCCTCGCTGCCTCACTTTTGTGACAACCTTCCCTTTGTCGAGGCGTTGGGCGAAAGCGAGGGAGGTTGGGCCGGCCGCGGAAGGTCGAGAAGCGGTCTCCGAGGCACAAGGCTTGCCGCCGTGTTTGGCTTTCATGCAGGATACACCGTGCCACCGACTTTATTTTAGCCCCCCCCGATCATCGTCCGCTCGGCGGCTACGTCCCCACGGATGGGCTGATTGGGTATGGCACGTCTGGTGCGCAGGGCACTGGGCATCTCGCTGAGATGGACGAGTCACTGCCCGCGCCAACAGCGCCAACCTGCAGCAGACGATGTCACGATGGGCATTTTCATTGGCCCTCTTATCGCTCGGAGAGGCACACCACCAATGGGTCAGCCGACATTCGCGAGTAAATGGAAGCTTTGAATATGACGGTTGGATCTTGCTCTTCCGTTTCTTCCATTCATTACTCCTGTTTTCGCTTTCTTTCATTTTCATTTTTTCACAACCCTCTTCATCTTCCAGTACTTGTTGTGTCCCTCAGTCCGTCTCCGGATGCGTCATTGCGTCCAACCTACGTTGCTTGCTCCTTCGTTATTTTTCACCAGTGATTGACGACAACACACTGCAATAATGCCAGTCATTTCACCGTATCCACCGGAAGACCTGTTGCAGGCAGAAAAGACCTTGATGGCACTCGCCGAAGACCCCGAACTTTTGGACATGTTTCGAGGGCGGTTCGGCAAGCCCTTACCTCCCCCCCCATCGCTCGCGTCGACACAGTTCCCGTTGCCTATTACGGCTGCTCAGCAACGTTACAACCAAAAAAGTCTGGAGCTCTACAGCAGCCACGGCAAATCGGCCCCGTACGACCTATTCAACACACAGGTGACCTGCTTGCGGTACGGCACCCTCGAGCCTGTTTTCAAACCTCAAGAATGCAGTTACGGGACTCCTGTAAGGGACGAGCGAGATGCCAAGGAAATGGTCAAGGCTCGTTGGATTGAGCAGGGCATTTGGGACGATGGATGGAACGACAAGGGCTTCCCCAGCGGTTTCTGGAAGCACGAGAATCGGCGCTTCGACTGGGACTTGGGCGAAATAGTCTACGGCACGCCGATCCAGAAGGAACCGCGTGACGTGGAAGCCTCACGCCCCTACCACCAATTCATCTATCTTGTGTCCAAAGAGCGCGAAAATATCCGAGAGGAGCTGCGTACATTTAGGGATGCGCCGCCAATGAATTCATCACACCCCCCGACCCGTGAACTGTCCGGCCCGGGAGAAGCGGTAAAGCCAAGCCTATTGGACATCAACACTCAGGCATACGAGAGGATCAAGGCGTGGTGGATCAGGACCGGAATTTGGGATGACAGGTGGGGTGTGCTCCCGGGGATGAAATGGAAGCACGAGACGCCGGTTCAGGAGTTGGTCAAGGAGATCATAGGCGAGTATCCCGCCAACGACGTGGTGCTTGAGCCTAATGAGGACGAAATGAAACTGGAGACACCGCCACCACCGGACATGAGCTCCGCGGTGACCAGTCCCGGATCTCAGGCCGCGCATGAACCGCCGCCGTGGGAGTTTCCGAGCTGGGTAGAGGCGAGGGAACAGGAACTGATGAAGGGGAACACCAGCTCTGGGCTCGGAAACGGGGTTTGGGGTTTGCGTCCGAAGTTTGAGTTCCCCGAGGGAAGTATTTTCGCTGATTCCCACGATCCGCGCGCAGCGAATAACCCTGACAATGATGGGAAGGATGCACCAGCTCACGGGCTCTTCAGCGGTGTGAATTTTCTTGGCGGTGAAGACCGTTCTACGAGTGGAGGACTTTCTACTAGTGGAGGGCTTTTTGGTGGTTGGACCAGGCCGTTACAGACGGACGGTGCTCTGGCTAACGGGCAAGAGGCGCCGCGTGAACACTTCATCAATAAGCTTTCCAGTAATCGGGCGCCATTTAGTGACCGAGATGGTCATACTGGCCGTGGGCTTTTCGGTCCAATGAGCGGTGGTATCGGGGATAGGAAGGACGGGCCGGCCCAGAACAACAACCTCATCCTTGGAACTGTGAGCCTCTCCGGTGCCAAGGACAGGGTTGGCAGTGGAGCTGTGTTTGGGGCCCCGCAAAGACTTTTTTCGAGCAACAATACCCAGGGGGCCAGGGAACAGGCGTCAGGGACATTTGGCCCCTTGTTTGGTAACACGGGTGGCGGTTTGATCAATGGAGGAGTCATGTCCGGCGGTGGGACGCTTTTTGGGGAGCCCCTTTTCGGCGGTCCCACGGGGCCGTTCCCAATGGACGACACGGCGGGTGGTGCTGAGGAAGCATCAGCGAAAACCACGAGCAACGTTTTTGATCTCAATGCCGGAGTTGACAGAGGGGACTGGCTTCCATATTCGAGAAACAACACGGTTGGAAATGGCAAACCAATTACAAACGGCGAGAAACTCACGACGGACGGTGCCGTTCACAACATCGATGCAGGTTCGACATCTCACAAGCCGCTCACGCCACCTACGGAACCGAGCAAACGAAGATCGCCCGATATCTCACCACCCCAAAGACAAACCACCATTGAATTCTCCCCTATCGATATCAACCCTACCGTTGAACCCGATACCAGCTCGCGAACCAGCCCAAGTTGTTCAAGCGCAAGCAGAAATGCACCATCGGAATGGCCGCCACAGCCTCTCTCGCCAACCGCGACGCCTTCCCCCCGAAGAAGTCAAAGACTGTCGGGTGCAAACGCCAAATTTGGCCCAGACATTACCGCGCTCCGAAATGGACTCCAGAACGGTACGACGGGCCCGGCTGCCGGGGGGAAGGGGGCGAGGAAACCGGAGGCCGCAGCTGCGTCATCAAAGGGGAAAAAGCCACAGGGTGTGGTGAAGAAATCCTCCCAAACTCAAAAAGACACACGAGGGAAATCCAGGAGGTGATCCATGCATATTATTTAGCTGTTAATATTTGTTGTCGAGCGGGATATCGAGATACAAGCATCCAGGGGCTCTGGGATGGTAACGGTCACGTAACGTAACAATACACGTATTGCCTTACATAAGCATCCGATCGTTTTCAACCCCCCGTCTCATCGCGATCACAATCCACACCCCTTTCGGTCCCAATTCCGCCGGGCGCGTTCCACACCCATAACATTTATTACACCAACACCAAACCGCGGAATTATGTAGTGCGACGTCCCGGCCCGTCGGCCGTTCTATCACCGGCATCTTTGTCCCGCGCATGTACACTGTGTACTGGAATATGGACATCCCGTCAAAGTGGCTTGCACGGCACAGGGTGGGCCCAGACCCTGTGCTCGGGAGACGGCCGAGGCGGGTCGGGACCAGGGTCTTGGTATTTGAAAGAGCGGCCGGGCAGGCGGGGAAGCACCGGGAGATCGGAACCCTGGGAAAATGGGTGGGTCCGTTCAGGTCCTTTGTTCCCCGGCTTGCCTCGCGTTGCCTCGTCATGGTCTTGCGTGTGTTGCCTTATGTTGCCTTGTTGTAAACTTTGCTTGATGGTGTGGCTCGAGGTGTTATCTCTAGTCTAGATCTGGTTAGCTATGCGTTGGGCGGAGCGGAGGTGAGATGGTGGATGAGGGGGATGTGGGATTGTCCTAGCTACACTGGTTACAGGTGGGAGGGATCATTCTAGGTCATGCATGGACCGCAGCATGCGGTGGTGTTCTGCATTTTGTTTAGCGTCAGTTCTTTTGTTCAGCCTGGTTGTGCCTTGCTTGATTCTGCAGGTTGTATCGTTTTTGTGTGACCGCGAAACATCTGGACCCCGTAGATACACAGAGCAATGGGAGGGGGTGAAGTGGGATGCGTCAGAGACGACGATGTGTCCACTTGGCGATCCCGGAAATGGGCGTACTCTCGGAATATCCGGGGTTTGTCTTCACCGTATCTTCCCATTGCCTAGACCGCGCCCGGAGAAGGTGAGAATTTCACTCCCGAAAGCCATTCGTCGAACGCTCTGTCAAGGTCACTGATGATTTCCAGATCGGGGTTGGACATGAAACGGGTGGCGGTCTGGCCAGGTTGGCCCATGCAGCAAGGATTGGGCGAATGTGGGGGAGTGGATTCCGTCGGGTGGGGGCCAGGGTCCAAGGAGGGGTTCGGCGGGCCGGGCCATTTGCGTTGACTTGAAACAAGGGACAGCCTTGTGGGTCCACACTGTGAAGCTTCGAGGAATTCGTGGTATGTCTCACAGTATGACAACCCTCCGAGGCACCAGCGATGTTGTCACCCCACGAAGGATTCTGCGTCCTGCAGGACTGCAAATGAGGATGGCACCGTTGCTAGTAGATTGAAGGGAAAAAACCGTCGATTCCCAGGTCCAGGTCCTGTCCAGACCCTCTTTAAACCTGCTTTTTGCGAGGGAAGAACCTGGAAAACCGGCAGAGTCACAAGGATGTGTTCCGGCTTTCTGGCCCTTATGCTCGGTGTGTGAGTGATTTAGGATGGGGGACATCCAGACCTCCGCTAGATCCTAGCGGGATCGCGGCCGGTAACGAATATGGGAGAATCGAAATGTTCTAGGCTCTCGATGTTGACTCTTGCTCGCCCATTTGTAATTCAGTGCCTTGGATCAAGACAGAAAATACGGAAGTCACCGCGTCATAGCCCAAAAACCTCTTCGGAACTTACAATACAGGGTTCTACGTTGAAGTCTAGAACGTAAGTCAATCTTTGACCCAGCGCTTTGAGCAATTCCCCCAGGCAAACATCGTGCGATAATGGGTCTTGAAGTGGAGGAGCAGGTAAATGAACCTTTCCCCAACCATTTCCCCACCGATCACGGATAATCGGAGACTTGTCGGAGATTGTCCGGCAAGAAGGATCGATGCGAGTCCTACTCAGCCGTAGAAGGTATAATCTCCTGATGGCATCTGACGGAAATTAGCTCGATTCCATTGATAGGGTGCGCAAGCAATGTCGGGCGAGTGTTCACCGAGGACTGTGCAGCGAAACAAAGGTGAAAGGCCGTCCGTCATGGAATGTCAGACAAACAAGCCCTCGTGGCCGGCGGTGGTGGAAACATGATCGGCAGGGTGAGTGCGGGGCACAAAAGTGGGTTAGGTGTGGAACGAGGCCCTGGGATTCGGCAATGGGGAGAGAACCCTGCCGAAGTCTAGACCAAGTCGATCGGGAAGAACGGCAGTTTCGGTATCTGGGGACCGTCTGGGGACCGGGAACGCTACTCGACAGTAGTGTCCAATGATGTTGGGGCGATCAATCGTCATCGCCCGGCAAACCGGCCGTTCTGGACCTTTTTTAAATGTTCAGTGTTCCATTGACATCACTGGGCTGAACCCCAGCGGTGACAGTGGTCATGGTGGGACACTAACAACGAAAAGCAAAGGTCGAGATAAGAGTACGCCAGTTGGGGGAAACGTCCTTGCGTAGTAGTACATCACCTGAGCCAGCCGACAAGGCCGGCCGTGAACATGGGTCATCTCTTCAAGGAAATTACTATATTGTACAAGCTATAATAAATAAGTTGTATTGCTTACTGGAGAACTTCCTAAAGTCCTCTAGAACGAGTGACTATATATTACCTACATCGGCTAGCTCGCTATTGCTTACCAGCTATTATAGTCTACCTTAGGTCCTCTAGGTGTGACGGAACGTCTCTCAAACACACTCTGAAAGGGTTCACTGAAGGTATGACGTAAGGGTTGTGTTCCGGTGAAGCCAGGGGGTTCACAACGAGATAATGATCTGGTCTCAATGTCCAATGTGTTGTGCAAGCTGCAATGAACAAGTTGTATTGCTTACTGGAGAACTTCCCAGAGTCCTCCAGAGTGCGTGACTATATATGCTATCTAGGTAGGGAATGTCCCGAGGTACTTTATACCTTGATCGTGGTGATCGCTCCACGATCCATCGATCTTGGCGTTTTGAGTGATCCCGCGATCGTTCCATCGATCCCTCGATCACTCCCGCCACAACGGCAGACCGGCGGACGAATCCCAGCCGCTGGCTGCCAGCGTCCATGATCACTTTGATCAAGAGGACTCGTACTTCGACTTTGATGCCGCCTCCTCCTCCACCGGCCACATCGGCAGTTCAAGTGGTCATGGGGGCACCTACTCTGCTGCCCCGAGGGGCTCTTCGGCAAGGCCTGCGAGCTCCCACCCTGCCCCGAGGGGCGCTTCGACTGGGAGCTCGGCGCGCGGTGCTTCTGGTGCCGGGCACGCACCCTCGCGGCGCGGAGCATCCTCTGGTCCTCGCTAGGTTCACACACACCCGGAGATGGCTTCTGTGGAGAGAGGTCGTGCTGGTCGTGCCTCTCTTTTGTCACTTGGTTGAGCAGGGGGGTCTGGGGAACGGGAGACGGTTCGGTCGAAAAGTCGTTGCGCTGGTCGCACCTTTCACGTCATTCATTTGACTCGGGGGGTTCGGTAAGGACATGTAGCGCTGGTTGCACCTTTCTTTTGTCACGCATTAGACTAGGGGTTAGGAAATGGAGCGCTGGTCACACTTTCCTCTCGGTCACTCGTTTAAGCAGGGGGTCGAGGAATAGGATGGTGGTAGTTTCGGTACTCAATAGATCAACACGCTAGCCGTGCCAAAACAGAAAAGAAATGCGCAGTGACTTCCCCCAAAAGCTATCTTAGAGCCTCTGGCAAGGAGTAACAACCAAATCCCCAACGCCCATGAGGGGAGCCAGTCCTTCGGGGATATCGCAGCCCCGTTCGAATTCGGTATACTCCTTGACACCGAACACAAGTTCGTGTCCCGGCGCGCCGCGGCCCTCTCCCTCTCCCTCTCCCTCTCCCTCTCCCACCAGGTCAAAGCGAAGGACTCTGGGGTTCATCTCGACCAGCTCCGTTGCATCCCGCACCCCGCGGATAAGGTACAGTACAAATCCGCGGAGGACAATAATCTTATCCCCTATATCCTCCACGTAGGCGTCAATCGGACCGTGGCCCTCCTCGCCGTATTGATCCTTCCAGTATCCAGCGGCAAGATTGAATCCATTCTTCCTATCGACAATGATATATAAGTCGAAGTCGCTGACGAGGCGGAGGTAGTGAGCGCCAGGGGTAGGCAGGGCCCGGTCGGGGGCCTTGAGAGCCTCGGCGGCGTGCTCGGGGCCAAAGAGGCGGGAGACGATCTCCGCCATCAGCCGCCGCAGCACAGGCCTGGCATAGGAGCTGAGGCCGTCTTCGGCCCCCATGGCCAAGTGGTAGGGCGGCGCGGGCATGGAAGGGTCGAGCTGGTGGGGGAGGGTGATGGGGACATGCATCTCGAGGACGCACGGGGTGTCGGCATCGATCTGGAGCGCGCTAGAGCGGACGAGCTGGACAGGTGGGAGAGCCATACTGGGTGGTAGGAGGAGTGGCTAAGGTAGGTACGAACAGAGCAGAGGCTGCAGTGCTTGGATGCTTGGATGCTTGGAGGTGGAATGTCAGGGAGGGAGGAAGCTTGCGGGAAAGAGTTTGGGAAAGACTTGTTCGTCTTCCCATCCCTCTTTTATACACCGTCCAGACACTTACATGAAGACCAAGGGATTCAATTCGCTCCTTTGGCCCCGTTCGGGCCTGACTCTCGCTAATCCCAATATGGTCATTGCTCGCTCCACTATGTTGCAAGTGGCGCCAATCAAAAGCGTACGATGCAGCTTGTCCGGAAATGCGATGGTCGATGGGGGCCAAACCCCACCCCCATTGTCCAGTTTAGGCAATTCGATCGAGCAAGGGGTATTCCAGAGCGGGCAGCGTTAGTAGCTGGGCGCAGGGCGCAGGGCGCATGATGGCGACGTCCCGTTAATGCCCGTATGCAGTACATAGAAGGCGGAGTGGGCGGTTAGCTGGGCGGCGATGCTGCTACCGTCTGCAAGGTCGCCGATGACGGTCGCCGACAAAGCGGTGGATGTTGACCTGTAATTACCCAGAGTAGTCAGGAGTGCCAGGCTTGCTCGGCCGCCACCGCTGCCAGGGGGGGGGGGGCGGAATTATCTCCCAGGTAGGTAACACAATTCTAGGATCGTTCGCGGGGGCGGGATGAGGGGGACTTGCAGCATCCACATCTTCCTGATCTGGGTCTGGGAAGATCCGTGCTGCGTTGATCTCGCTGCTCGGAGCCGATTTGGGTAATAGTTTCGGCCCGATATCTGCCAACGTCGCCATGCAGAGCCCCCTTCACACATGAGAGGTCGGGGAGGCATGTGGCTGCTGGCGATTCACACTCATGACGATGAAGAGGCAGCCTAGAGTCGTCAAACGTCTTGCCTGATCGTTGCCCGGCGTCCTTTGCAGTCCATCTGGCGACACTTTGTCTGGTACCTTACGCTTGACACCTCGAGCCGGGCATTGCTAGCACTAAGTTTCCCGCATGAATAGACCCGACTTGAATTTTATATAACCTACAATTTCCCAAGCCGTAACACGATGACCGCATTTCCAACACTCTGCTCTTCCTCCAAGATGGGGTTCCCCCCATCAAGTCCACCCCCTTCTTCTTCCATCATGTCATCCGAAAACCCCGGCTCCTACTTGGGGCCGCCCTCGTGGCCATGCTCATCCCACTGCGTTCCCCCCCTCCCCTTTCCCAACCACCCGCACGAGCGTCAAATCGCCCTCACCCAACACGATACTACCAACTTCCAACCGCCCCGTCCGCTGATACTCCCTCAACCTCCCCAATATCCCGCATATTCAACTCCTCCTGCACATATCCCCTCAGCCCGTCCATATCCGCCAACACCCGCCCGTCAGCAATTACCACGAGCGTCCGAAGCGGCGTCTTCAGCCCCACGCCGCACCTCTCCTCTCCCGCGCCGCCCGGCCCAGCTGAATGACCTTCTGCATCGCCTCCACCTGCCGCTCGACAGCCTTGTCCAGCAGCGCGGTCTGTACTCTCGGAAACGGGAGGAAGTGCACGCTACGGGCGTACCCAACCCCGGTCGTGGGGAGTACCGGCCGGAGGAGCTGGTAGATGTGCTCCGTTAGAAAGGGCGTGAAGGGCGCGAGGGCGCGGACGAGAGTAAAGAGGACCTGGAGGAGGGTGGTCAGGGCCGTAGCGGTGTCGGCTGCTGCGTCGGACCTGGCGGCGGCGGCGACGCCCTTGAGGCGTTTGCGGTTGAAGCGGATATACCAGTTGGTGAGGTTGTCGAGGGAGTGGAGGAGGCGGGGGACGATGGTGTGGAGGCGGTAGGCTGGAAGACAGTGTTAGTGATTGTGGGCGGAGGTCGTGTTGTGGAAAAGGGGGTATGAGAGGAAGGGTAGGGGGGGATAATACCTTGTATCTCTTTGTCTACGAACCGTAATAAACTTTGATAATCTGCCAGAATCCAGCGGTCTATAATGTTTACTGGGCTACCATTGTCGCCGAACGAGGCCTGCGCGGAGAAGTCCTTGCCTATAGTGCTCTTATATAGGATAATCTGCTCGTGGAAGAAGTGGTAGCTGTTCTAGAGAGATAGGAGGACCTGGGTAATAGTCTGTTTGACACCCGCCTCGGAGAAATATAATAGCTCTCCCCGCACTATAGGGCTATTGATTAGATAGGGCCTCAAGGCATCGGAGCTATACTAGTCCAGAATACTATTGGGATTGGGGTAGTTCCCAAGGCTCCCTCAACAACACTTTTTCTCCACCATTCAAGATGCACACTAGGTCAAAAGAAGCCGGGATAATCCTCGCTCTTCAAGCTCTTCAAGTAGATGAGAATCTAAGCGAACGAGCCGCAGCTAAGATCTACGGGGTCGACCGTAGGACCTTGGGGCGCCGACGCGCTGGCAAGCCTGCAAGACGCGATATTCCAGCCAACTCGCGCAAGCTTACAGATTTAGAAGAGAAGACAATAGTTCAGTATGTAATTGGGCTGTATGCACGCGCATTTCCTCCTAGGTTGAGTGGCGTGGAAGATATGGCCAATCGACTACTACGTGTGCGCGACGCGCCTCCTGTCGGCCAACGCTGGGCACACAACTTCGTCAAACGCCAGCCAGAGCTCCGGACGCGTTATACGCGTAGATACGACTACCAGATGGCCAAGTGCGAGGATCCAAAGGTCATTGGCGAGTGGTTCGCCCTTGTACGGAACGTCGAGGCCAAGGCCTTGAACTCGCAGGCTGGCCCACCACAACCTTGGGTGTTCCAGACACCACACAGCCCTCGAGAAGCGACCTCGCAGTCAATGCTCATCAAGACTCGCATTGCCAACCATCAAAACAGCTCTCCGACTTCGATGTTGACTGCGGTGGACCAGCTTACCAAGGGTACGATGGCTGTGATGCATCGGGTCGCTATTCTTGAGTCAGAGGTTGCTTCGGTCCGCAAGGCCAACGAGGCACTCAGTAAGCGCAAGAGAGCCAAAAGAACGCGCGTGCAGCTTGGAGGATCACTTACTCTGCAAGATGCAATGGATCTGCTGGGTCAGAGTGCTGCGGGTGGGGAGGGAGTGCAAGAAACGCAGCCGGATGGTAGTGGTGCAGGGGGGGGCGTACGAAGGTTCGGCGCCTGATTCAGCCGTTTCCGATGTAATTATTGTAGGTTCCTAGTGTTTTTGTATTGCAATTCTTGGTGGTTGTGAGCAAGGTGGTGTGGGGTGGGTCACTCGCTGATATGGGTCACTCGCTGATATGGGTCACTCGCTGATATGGGTCACTCGCTGATAATATACGTTAATGCTATTTATAATAATATTCTTGAAAGGCGATTTACTAAATAGTTTATTGCTAAGAACTATAAGGGTATAGAACCAGCCGCGCGTTTAATCAAGGCCCTTGGCAATGAAGTCCGCTGGGAACAATCCAGAATAGAATTGCTCTAAGTTATCAAATAGGAAATGAACCGAGGCATATAGCATGCTCCCGGATTTGAACCTGCCCTCTTTATATTAGATACTTTTCAGGGTGAGCCAGCTAGGTCTGAAAAAAAGAAAGAAACTTGCCAGTAATCGAAGATCTCATCAACTCGGCATAAAACGCCCTTGCCTTGCTTCGACAGGATTATAATACTATCAACCTTGTCCCGGTGGAGGTTATCAAGCAGCCTATTAAAACCGCTCAACCGCTTTAGCTCCTCGGCGCTCCCTATATATATAACCTCCTTATAATCGTCGCTCACCCATAATAGGATAGGCGTCCCCCAGTACCGGTTCCGCGAGATATTCCAGTCGTGAGTGTTCGTAACCCAGTTAGTAAACCGCTTCTCCTTACTAAACTGCGGCACCCAGTTCGTGGGTTCCAAATTCCTGAGCATCTCCTGGATAGAGTCGCTCACTCTGATAAACCAAGAAGAAACCGCATGGCGGATGAGCTGCTTGTGCAACCTCGGGCAGAACTTATCGATATACTCGACCTGGGTCTCGACGAGCAGCCGGCCGGTGGATCTCAGGTCTCTTTGTCACAAACCAGGCCGCGGAAGGCAGTCCGTGGCATACGCAGGTAGGGCACGAGGCGCACTACCGACCAATCACTTACGCAACCAATCTAGAGAGGCTTGATAGGATCTCTTTAAGATCTATAAGAGCCAATACGACGGATCGACAAAGACATCCTAAGAGCCAACAGGTTCGACAGGATTTCGGTAAAAGCTACGAGTGTGAGGAACTGGCCCTATGGCGGAATGCAGATAGGCGTTTATTATGTTATTGAG